CACCCCACCCGATGAAGACTGGACAGCCTTAAATCACAAAAGTTTTCATTATCAAATATTAACACAGAACCTAGCATTCTTAATTTGACACTACTTTCTATCAAACCTACTTGAGTCTTATATGATCAAGTCAAGATATATACGACTGTAGTCATTTATCTAAATGTAAGTTCACGCACCCCCCACATAAAACATCCACTTTACAACGAAACATGTCTCTTCCCTGGCGGAGGGAAGAGGAAGATTCAAACTCTGACAATGAGTGTCAGGTATGTGCTCTACCACTAGAGCCATGTGTCCCTTGAAAATACTTATTTAAATCAACAACTAAAATATCACAGAGGTGCCACTGCAAACTCCAACTCTTAAAAACCACATCACTTTTTTTCTCAACAACCTGAGTTATGTAGTCATAAAGTGGCAACTTGAACTAATCCAACATTCCAGCACTCATAAGTTCTGATGATTTAAAAACACTAATCTAAAATAAATTGGTAATAACAAAATCCTACTTTTGTCCACTTCTATAATAAACATTCAATTAAAACAAATACTAATGGCAATTCCTGATAGAACCATATGTAATTCAATGGAAAAATAGCACTGACAATAAGCATTGTTCCAGCTGAAAAGATGGAAATTTAACCTTTGGACTCTGATTTCTGCTCATCTCCTTTGGGAATTTCCTTCTTTTCCTTGGGATAGAAGTTCTCATAATCTGCAACAGCAAGACCAACACAAGCACATGCTTAGCGCAATCACTCTTTTTTCCACATTTTGATTCATTTAGCTGAAATACCAACTGCTAACCAAACCATAAAAGATTAACCAACCAAATTTTGTAACTTGCTTACTCTTTTTCTTTGGGGCTTCACTAGAAAAATGTCTGCGAAGCTTAGGGTTTCCAAGAATGTAACTGAAATCAGAAACGCAGGCCTTGTGGGCTGCTATTGATGAAGCAAAATAAGACCTCAAAAACCCTAAATCCCCATCTACCCGACCACCCAGATACGAACCAAGACGTGGTACACCCAAAATCGCTTCATTCCCATTCAGAGCCACCGATCGCCCACTTCCATATATCGAATTCTAACACCAAAAACCAGATATTTAGCACACAAATTAAATAAGAAAAGGGGAAGAACAAGATTGGGAAACTTACTCTGGAGCGAGAAGATCGAGAAAAGGAGCGACCAATCCGAGAAAAAATCATAACTTCGCTGTCTCAGGCAGAAAATGAGATTGAAATTTCGTTTCTGAGAATTGGTGAGAGCCAATGGAAAACCACCTTATTTTTTAAGCTGATTCAAAGAACCCATTTGGGAAAATTAGATTTTTTTTATTTTTTTATTTTTTGTTTGTTTGTTTGCCTCTTTCTTTTATAAATAACTTTTGGGGCTATTTTCAGCTGTGTGCTCAGAAAGGGCACTTGAGAGAGAGAGAGAGAAATATGAAAGGTGATTTTGGGTTGTAGATATTTGGTGGTCTGCGTTGTGTTGTGTGTACAATGGGTAGGTTGAGGGCCTTGAGGTCAGCAAATGCGTTACGTAGATTTATTATTTATTTCAATAACTGGCTTGGCAAACAAGCCATACACGCCCACAGCTTTCGACTTCAGTTTTTCGGAATGTGGTTCGATACTTCTTTTGGTCATGTAAACAAAATGATATTTACAAAGATATATATATTTACAACATGATAACAAACGCACGACTCAGATCTGTATTAGTCGAATATCAAACTATTTCAATTAAATGGAGACAATTATTATTAAATGAAATCATATATGTGTCAATCGAATATAAAGCTTATTTCAACCAAATGACGACAACTATTACTAACAAGGGCGGAACTACACCCACTGCAACCCAATGATGTTTTGAGGAAATCTAATAGACTGGCTGTGAAATTGGTTTTTAAATTGAAGACAGCTAATCAAGTTAGGACATTGCATCACCGCTTCACAAAATTTAATTCAAAGTGTGCTAGTTTATTTACGTTTCAATTGGTCAGTTTATTCAAAGTACCAAGCTATGATTATACTTGGCCATACCAATTCCCAGTCTTCGGATTTTAATGGTTCATATTGTGCCACATTTATCCCATTTAAGTTTCTCCTTAATATTAATTATTTAGAAAACCCAATAAGAAATTTTATATTTGGACAATAGAAAGAAAAAAAAAAACAAAGTTTATCATTTTTGGCATCTATTCAATACCTCCACATGAGTATCCATAAATAATAATAAAAATCCAGATTTTTATGAACTGGTTGCAGGAGAACAATAAAAATGTACTTTAAAATAAGTACACTTTGAATTCTATTGTTGAATATAATTTCATTTTGATAATATGTGTTTTGCGATTGTATTTTTAATATGTATTTGTTTTATATTAAAGCTTATTGAAAATTAGAGTGGTTTATAAGATTCAAAGCATACTTTTATTTCTAGAAAGACTATAGAAACTATAAGTAAAATAAAAATGATGATTAAATTTTAAGTTAATAACTGTAGCTAGCCCATCCTTTAATAAATTCGTGGTTCCGCCCTTGATTCCTAAAAGAAAGGCTAAACCATACATACCATGTTTTATTTAACCAACAAATTAAAATATTGTAGGGGCCCTTATTAAGGTGTGATAGGTGAGGTGAGATAGAGATACAAGTCCTTGGCTCAAAATATTGATTCACAAACCAAGTTCAACTTGTTCTTTTCATGTTCAAAGCGTGCAAGTTTGTAAAATTTATAAATTTTAGGAATAGTCGTGTTTATATGTGTGTGATACTGTCAACCGTATATTTTTATAATTAATAAAATATAATAGTCACAGTCATTCACGTGTGTCTCTAACACTTGTAAATTTTAGATAAAAGAATTAGTTTTCTAATATTCCTTTTGAATGTTGCAAAAGTACTTAAGAGCACTTCCACTTATTTGTCATGACAAATGGTAAGGATAAGGCAAGGGATATTACTATTCACGTGAATAGTGGCAGCCATTGCAAAAGGTTTGTGGTGTTTCCACCCATTCCCATGGCAACCACTATTCACATAAGATATAATGAGATGAATTTGTATAGAGTTTTGACATAGGAAGTGAAGAATATGACTAAGTATTTAATTTATTTTTTTAAATATGAAAATTTAAGTCTTTTTTTCAATTTTTTTCGTTGCTGACGTCAGCAAACCTAAGCTAGAACACATACTCATTTTACCTTTGGGTTGGTCTGCTTTCATGGGACCCAGCTGCTGCCCGGGCAGCTTCAGCCCGTTGGAACTAGAATTTGGGGCTTGGGGCCCCTCCTGCCCTTGCATGGGCTCAACTGTAGAACTGCTCTAAGAGCATTTCTAGCGAGAGGGGTTAGCCCGGGCAAGAGACCCCTTAGGCCCTTAATTCCGTTTCCAGCGATCAAGGCTTGCTTGGGCGGTTGACTGTGCAAGATGCCTTAATATTAATGTCATTGTGACGTTAACAACCAATTTATATAACAAAAAAATTGGGAAAACAAAAAACAAAAATTTCATATTTTTTTTAAATATAAATACCTAGCCATATTCTTCACTTCCCATACCAAACCTCTATATAAATCCCTCTCCTCATATCTCATGTGAATAGTGGTTGTCATGGTAATGGTTGAAAAGCCAATAAATAAAATTGCTAAGGCGGACAATATTCTTATGAATAGTAACAACACTTGTCTCCCCTTACCTTTTGCCATGACAAATGGGTGGAAATGCTTTAAGACCCCGTTTAGTTTGTGGGAAATGAGGCTTGAGGATGGAAAATCAATTGCTTTTCCATGTTTTGTAAGTCCAGACATGAGAAATCGTTGTCTGGCACATGGGAAAATAGGGGAAAGTGAAGCCCTCCTCTTAACTTGGATTTTGTTTTCCCTCCTCATGGGGAAGTTTGAGAAAATGAGCCAACATTAAATACACATTTTTCATGACCATTTTGTCCATATTAACAATTTAGAATTACAATATACCATTAAATGCCTTCTTTTTTTCATTTGATTTAATATGGGTTTAATTGAAAAATTATACAAACTTTGTTTTCCATTCATACTCAAAATAAACATGGGAAATGAATTAAAGTGATATCTCCTGGTTACTATCCCAACATTACCAAACGTGCAAAGGGAATCTTCCATTTCTCATCCATTAGTAAATAACATGGGAAGTGATTTCCCCTCAAATCCGTTTTGTGAACCAAACGGGGCCTAAGTACCTTGAATGTTTACTTTGTATAAACCAGATAACCCATTTCCCAACCCAAAAATTTAAATTTTAACTTTGGCCCATCTTCTATAAAATGATATTTGGGCCATTCCAAAAGCAGGGTAGGCCCAATTAACCCGTAAAATAATTCATAAGATAATACCCTCGGCTCCATCCTAGGAAATATGTTTTCATGACAGAAAACACAGAATGACAGAAGAACCCTATTTTTCCCATGTCTGTCTCTCTGGATAGCGTGTTGACCAACGTTGGCTTGAATTAGCCAATTCTTGTAGACTCGAAAATCGTTGCTTTCCTCTCACACCCAACCATGGAAGCTAAGTCAATGTTCCTACATTCCAAAACAATCCCATTCTGTTCTTTTTGTACTGATAGACCCAACTTCTCTCTCAGACCTTTTCGTAAACACCTACAGGGCAATTCAATAAACCAGAGCTCTCACTTACACCATAGCCTTAAACCCCTCAAGAACCCATCAAATTTATGTCTTTCACAAAACCCATTCTCATCATCACCAACAAGAACAAGAAGAAGCACCCATTTGTTACCTCCGCTCAAATGCTCATACTCCAGCACCTCAAGCTCAGAATCTCAAACCCCATTGCTAAAACTCCTCAAAAATATATCCTTTGATTCATTCAAAGATACCCTTTTTAAATTAACCCCTTTTGATGTCATCAAGTGGTCTGGAATCTTTTCCATTGCAATTGCAGCCACAAAAGGGACTGTCAATTTGCTCTTGAGCCCCTTTTTCTGGATGTACTTTAGCTGGACTTGGATGTTTTGGCCTTGGTTTCTGGCTCTATCAATCGGGGTTTACGGGTTCTACTGCTTTCGGAAGCATTTACAAGGTGAAGCTAGCATCTTTGAGCAACTTGCCATTGTCACTTCAGTGTTTTCTTGGCTCACACTAGTCCCACCTGCCCATTTCAATGGCTTCCTTGAAGGTTGGCCTTATGTGTTCTTCTTTGTCTACCATTACTTCTTTTTCTTTAATGTTAGTGTGAGGAAACGGTTATATGGAGATTACTATGCTCGCCCGCATGACCCCAAGTGGGATGTGAGCCCACCAAAGTGGTTGCGTCTTTTGTTCTGTGCCGGGGTCATGGCTGGTCACTGGCTGGCCGCATTTGAAGGGCCAGAGCTTCACCGCATTCCTGGCGGGTGGAGCAATGTATGTATTTGGGTTTTGATATTGGTGACTCTGCTAGTGCAATATAACGCAACATTGTATCTTGCAAAGTATTCAGAAAAGGTGGTGGTGCCAACTGCTGTTGTACAGTTTGGGCCTTACCGGTGGGTACGCCATCCAATATATTCATCTACGATGCTTCTGTTCGCCACATATTTCATTGCGCTTCGAGCACCTTTGAGCTTGCTATTCATCGTAGCAGTTTGTTCGTTGTACTATGATCAGAAGGCAAAGCAGGAGGAGGCTTTGATGGTTGAGACTTTTGGGGAGAGGTATGTGGAGTATGCGAGTAAAGTTAGGTACAAGTTCATTCCTTTTATCTATTAGTTGGTCACAAGGTATGCAGTTATGAATTCTGTATTTTGAAGGATATAATGTGTTGTACTTGAGTACTTGAGTTTTGAAATCAATATGAGAATGTTAGATTTATAGACAAGTTCAGCATCTGTGTTTGAGTGATTTCTACCGAGCTCTATTTTTTTTTGAAATCAATATGAGAATGTTAGATTTATAGACAAGTTCAGCATCTGTGTTTGAGTGATTTCTACCGAGCTCTATTTTTTTTTTTGGGCTATTGTTTTTGTTGCATTTGTTTTATGTCTTCTGTTGGGGAAAAGTCTTAATTGGTTGTACCCATAGGAAAGTTAACATGGAATAAGGATTAGTATGCAGGGATGAACCCAAAACCTAATGGTTTCACTTTTGAGTCAAGTTGAGTTCCACTGTATGTTAAGGCCCTTTTAGTTGAACTCCTCAATCTCTACAAATTCTAATGAACCATCAAACCCAAGTGGCTGAGGATTTCGGGTAGGATAATGTTCCTTGAAGTATGTACCTAGTCTGTTGAGTGATCTTGGGTTGGACAAATCTTTTGAACCACCACTCCCCCCCCAAGAAATATAGAGTATGGGAGCAGGTACCAGACCACAGAAATACCCAAGAAAGTCCAAATAAAGATGTGGGAAGAAATGTGATAAATTCGCACTTGAGAGGGAGATTTGTGGAGAAACAAGTGTGATTTGTTATCTTTCATTGCAAGTCAACATCGAATTGTTGATTTGTATATACATGGATAGACCCAGAACATAACAAATTTAAGCTTTTGGATCAAGTTCAGTTCATATATGTTACGACCCATTTGGTTTGACTCCCCAATCTCTCTCCAAATTCTAACACCTTTTGTTCACTTGTCTTGGTGGTTTTCCATTTAGGCTTTAATAATGAGGTTTTGTTTCACTATGATGTGTTGGAAAACTGTGCATGCTACGATATATAAAGCAGAAACAATTTGTTCTCTACTTTATGTTTGTCTCAAGGTCTTAGTTGTTTTTGGTAAAAATGACAATGATTTCTGATTTCTTGAAGTATCTATGATGTGTGTCTGCTGAAATAATGTTGGAGAGATATGGTCAACACGCTGCTGCAATCACTTTGCTCAATCTCCACCCTGGTTTGGACCATTCTCCACCAAACATGTTGGCATGATTTAACTGCACTGAATCATGCTGTGCTCAGAAGGGCTTGGGCTTGCAGATAATCCATCTAAACTGGTAGTTGATTGAAAGAGTCAAAAGTTAATGACTGCTAAATTTGGGTAGAAATCTAACCCCCAGGAGGATTATACACTCACTATAATTCTCCTTTTTGGTACGCATTTTGGTTCATAGGAACAGAATCCACTATAAGATTTATCATAAAGTTATAAAGTTATTTTGCCACTATATTTAATTGAGAGATTGCAGACACTCTGCTACCTGTGAAGAGTTAGGGCAACTGAAGTGGAAATTAAGTTGAGCATGTTGCAAGATTGTTAAAAATGTACCAATCTGAAGAAGAAAGCTAAAATAAAGGTCACTAGAAGTGAATCCATATGTGGAAACTTAAATGGCTTTAGCAGGTGATAGCATAACTGAAGACATTGCAAGGGCATGAGGAAATGCCAACTTCACTTTTGCATAGTTCCTCTTCTCCAGTTTAATCCATAACTTCAAGAAAGAAAGCATTGATATTGAGCTTGAACATATCTGCAATGAATGTTGGTCTTTTGTCTGATTCGTAAATAACTTCTTTTTTTTTGGGTACATGTGTTTGGAATCACTGTGGGTAGGTGAAGCCTTTCTCAGTCGTGTGTTTAATCTATTTAGTCCTTTTGGAAATAGAGTTTCTTTCAATTATAGGTTTCAATCATGGAATTAAGATTATCCATTAGTGCTCTTTGTTACCATGCTCATACATATGTATGCATGTGAGATGCCAAGACTTTTTTAATTAGGTAGGTTTACTGCTTCGTTTGATATGCCATGTTACTCAGCTTATCGCTTGAACCATGTTCTAAATACCATTTGACTCTTTGAGCTTGAAATATTTCTGATTTGCGTGCTTGAATTGGCATGCTTTCTTCCTTCCAGAGTGTCTGATGATCGGTATAAATTAGATAAGCAGGAGACAAATCTCCTCTGAGATTGAATTGAAGCCTTATCTCTGAAATTATGACAAAGTCATGTCTGTCTCCCAACAAAGAGGCTGAATTTTCAAATTAAGAAATTCAGTTACCTTTTCAGTTTTTCAATAACTAATGCAAGAGTAAACTATTTGAAAACAGATGCTGATCTGTAGGAGCATTATCCTGCTATAATCCAGAATAGCCTAGCTTTCCATGAAAGATCAATAACATGTGGTCTTACTTCTAGATCAGCACATACGTAAGCTAGTTTTGTGGTATTCACCCACTGTCTCTGTGACCCTCTGGTGAGCCAAACTTATAATGTTTGACAAGTTCTATATACTGGCATTGTGGAACTCCACCTCATGAACATGAGGGACACCTCATTAAATGTGAGATATATTGGCTCATCTTTGATTAGCAGCACAGATTTCTCAGGTGCAAAGGAAAACTGCCGAGTATCTGGCATTAGTACACGTTGTTTCTTCTGTTGGCAATCAAACAACTGTATTTTACATCCTTTCTATGCTATTTCCAATTTCATGCACATGAGAAGATAGATTCTTGGACCTTTTTCTGACTCTTGTGTCTTGTGTTTTTCATGTACGATGTCCAGTTTCCTCTTTTCTTTCTTCCCCGTCTTTTATTCATTTAAGTTTATGTTTGCGGGGGCCACTTAGTATATGAATAATGTTACTCTTGTGTTTCATGTTAGTTGTAAATTTATTATCTATTGCCCTATCCTTTTAGATGAAAAATCTGCGTCCATGTGTTTGGTCTGGTCAGGAAATTAGCTTCCCATTTTACACGTCTAATTTTAACTGAGGTTTTTGAAACTTATGTTTGACGTTTTTCATGTTTAGGATATGGAACAAAGTTAACTCGTTTTTATTATTCCTTGAAAGTTCATGGTTGCCAAGTTAGGATCTGACCATTGTGTTCATATGTTAGATAGACACTCTTTGGCATTTCTTGGCGCATTTTTCAAACGGAAATCGACATCATGTGGCCTGTGGGCATGCTTGTCCTTTCCAATGCTGAATTTTGGGTGATGGAAATTTTTACTTGATTTGATTATTGAATGGCTGATGAAATCTTGCAAATATCACATGTTAAGGCATGTTTTTTGTTTGTGGTAGGAACAAAAGTGTGTTGTTCTGGTTCCTCTTCATGTCGTGGAGTAGAATTGAACTATCATATCAAACAAGCAGTATATTATTTCTTGGCTACGGTGAAATTTACATTATTTGTAAGTACTCTCTTCTTGGAGCAGCGAGACTTACAATGGGATTACTTGTCTGAACGAATTCAGCTTAGAGCATCTGGATGACTTAGTTTGAAGGTGGAATTTGGGGTTGGTGAGGGAGTTAAAGTCGCATACTATTGTAGAAAAAAAACGTAAGAAATGATTATCAATTAAAAGAGAGATCTTACAAATACCATTATCGTCAACATCACTGCCAACACGACCCCCCCAACATTACCAACACTGCCATTGTCGCTGCCACCGCTCCACCACTACCACCTCCTTACAATCGTCATTGTCATTGCCACACCACTGCCATACGTCACAACCACTTACCACTCCCACCACCGCCATCGCTTTCGTTGCCACCGTTACTACCACCATGGTTGTTGTAACTGTCATCCCCCTTGCTTATACAAACAATTAAGCCACATTTCAAGTTTTGAAATTTTAATTATTTTATCCAAAATCTGGGGTTTAAAATGTTCAAACCCACTTGATGTGACTAGTTTGGAGAAGATTGGTCAAATCGGTATCTTTTTGGTACACACATTTTATTGTGTATGTTTAAAAAAGCAAAAGTCTCACGCAAGCCGAAAGACAACATCACCAGAAAAACAACTCAATTAGGTTGAACATCATTGTCTCTCAAGCTCTAGAGTTCCTTAATTCTAACATTTTCCCAGCACTGGTTCAACTGGACCTGTTAAACGCATCCACGTAGGCTACAATCTTGTGCTTTGGCACTGCCCCACGTGGATTTCTAGTGTGCACACCCTATTTATCCATGCACACAGTTTGCCTTGTGACTTGTTAGGTTAAATGGGGCCAGAACTAGTGGCAGGACGAGAGGGGTCCTAGGCCCCTACTCAACTTTCTCTCTCTTCTCAATCCATTTTACTCTCCTTTTCTTTTTTTCTCTCTCTCTCTCTCTCTCCTCCTCTCTCTCCAAATAATTTAATATTATGTGTATGAATTGAATAGAATATTGAAAGGGGATATAACGGTTTTTTTATATACAACAATCATAACTTGATGTGTAAAAATTGTAATTTAAAGCTTATTTCTTAATTTTTACATTAGGGGGATATTGTTCCAGGAGTCTACAAGAACCTGTAGTATTTCTTTATTTTTATATTTTGCAAAAGGGGCCCCTCTAACATCAATTTCTGACTCCGCCGCTGGCCATACCTCTTCCACGGCAGAGAGAGCAGCAGAAGAAAAATCTAAGAAGCTGAAAGTTACTTCATCAATATTCAAAACCACACACATTTGATCTTCCTTTCTGATCCTTTGTTATTCACACATTCCACAGAAGAAAAAGAAAAAACGGCATCTTCATTTCATCTTGAAAATTTTCATTTCCTTGCATTGCTAGTTTCTGCACAAAACCCATTTCATTTCTATCACACATTACATTCACAATTTGACACTGACATTTTGATCCTACGCTAACAAACTGGACAAAATCCACTTACCCAGAGACGTAGAAGATACATAGGATTCCCAACAAAAAATTCGAAAAGAAAAACACCATGGAACGAAATTTAAAAGAGAAAAGAGCTCGATGGGGTATGCTTGCTTTTGGCCCCATTGGAGAAGTTTGTGTTGTCGTCAAGAACCCAAAAGCTAGCTTCGCTTAGCTTCATGTTCAACTCACAATCTTGCTCCTTGGGACTACTGTTATTGGTAATCCCTGTTTGGGTACTGGGAAAGGGCCATATTGTATCCCATCCTCATCTCCTGTCACTTGCCACCTGATCAATGCCAATCATACAAAACTTAATTAGCCAAAATGAAAGCTTATATGTATATGCTGCTATCAATTTTGCCAGGGTCAGTCATACGAGGCACGCATGTGACTATAAGTCGTTCATACACTATGAGACTCACATGCATCAATAGCTCATAGATCGTCCATATACATGAGCTGAGCTTAGCATAAAGAAAAATCTGCAAAAGCCATCGACCACTTGGTTGGTAGCAATCACATCGCCAAATATCACCGTTATAATCAATAACAATGTCAAACTTTTAGTTTGTTTAGCCAAAACCCAACAAAAGTACTGTAGTAGCTATGATGCTCAAAATCATGAGGCTATAAGGATATATGTACTTGATGTGGACAACTTGTGATGTTGTGGTGTAAAACGTGCAGAAGAAAGAGCTGTGGTGGTGACCACCATGTCTACAGCTGGCGAACCAAATGTTTCATAGCCATTCCGTCTAGACTGAGCACACAGCTGGCTAATTGTCTGTCTCAATATGATTTTTTCGAATAGAATCATATATACGGAAATGTTCTCTTATTTGGCAGTCTGATTAACATGTTATATATAACTAAACTTTCGAAGTTTAATTGACATGTTACATATAATTAGACTCTCGATGTGAAATATCATGAATGGAGTATAACAATTGGTAAAATTGTAGAGGCTAATGCCCCATATGAGGCCTAGCTAGCTAGTCGTCGTCCTTGGATGAGAGTAAAGGTTTGGGAAAAAAAGGGTGGGATGTTTTCGAGAGCTGTCTCACAATCTAATATCACTAAAAGGGTTGTCTCCGTCTGTCCTGATGATAATTGATTAGGGTTAAGGGCAGGTCCTACATGTACGAAAAAAATTGATGGATGTGTACTAGAAATTTGACCAAAGAAAAAGGCTTTTGATCCTCGTACAGACAAAACTGTATAGGCTTTACACAAAACTGTATACGTATTATTGATAGTATCATATTTCTGTTAAGTTTGTTACTCATGACATAAAACGAACTGTCTAGATATCCCTTTGTGCATGGTTTATATGCGTAAATTGGTATAAAGAAAAATATTTTAATCTACTGGTTGAAATCTTAATCGGGAGACTACATATGTGTCTGTATGTCTGTATACACATATATGTGAATACACATACAGATTAATGTCAGTCGCGAGTGCAACTGGCAATGGAGGGAGGAGCCGCTGGAGGAGGGCTGTCGGGTGGGGGGGTTGCTGAGCTGTTTTGGCTTTTTATTTTTAAAGCTTGCTTCAATTTTTCATAGTTGACATTGAATTTGAGAACTTGTAAAGATAATAGAGGTCCATGTGCATATGTCTCATGCAAATTTGAGAGGTCAGGATTAAATAATGCTTGACTAATGATAGGCGCATGCATGCCACGTGTTTTAGCATGCAAATGAAAATCTACATTTGGGTGTATATGACATATGGTGACCCAGTTTTCTACTCAGCACACTCAACGAGAAAAAGAAAGAACCCCTCTAAAATGCTCACTCGCCCTCATTGTCGATGATACTGAGGACCACTTCCACAGCCTAAGGGAAGGACCATTGGACCACCAATCATTCCCCGGCCACTTCCTGCTACCTCTAGCCTCTAGTCAACTAAGAGGGGGACAAATGACTTTTACCCAAAACCCAAAAAGAAAAGAAATAATTGCATAAATATCAACAGGATTGTAACCCAATGAAATTTTTTGACAATGTGCTTTAATTTCAGTAACTAATAGTTTTTATTTTTATTTAAATACAAGCGATAGTCCAAACTTCAAAGAGGAGGGGATTTATCAACCATATGCTACCAAAAAGTGTTATGGGAATTCGAACCTAAGACTTGCAGATCAATGTCATTTTCCATTAGACTACGCCATTAATAGCATATTTTATTTGAGAGAGAGAGAGAACCTGTATGCAATGGTGAGATGGTGGAGGAGGATGAGCATCTCAAGCTTGGCCAGCTCATTGCCTGGACAAGAATGCACGCCATTCCCGAAGGGCATGAAAGTGTTTGGTTTTGGTGGCACCTGCACTATCACACAATTAGTCACCAAACCCAGCTAAAACATCACTTCAACCATCCATCACTAATTTATACAAAACCTTGATTATATTCTCATGAATTTCTTCTGCCGCATATGTATAATTCTATAGACTTTCTAGCTAAGAAAGCCCAACCAATTAAATATATATATGTATATGTATATGTTACATATTAGTGTCTCAAGACAAATGATCATTTAGTTTAGTAACAAAAAGTCTCAATTTCGTTGTTCGTTGAAATATGTAATTTATGGACGATAGTTATTGATAAATAAATAAAGAAATTACTAGCCTACAAAAACAAAACCAGGTCACATGACTTGATAGTTAGAAAGATATTCATGACTCAGATCCTCTTAAGTAGAGGAAGATTCATATATAACAATGAAAATGACAGGACCAAGATAATCCGGCGATTGATAACCTTATGTTTCTGCCGAAAAAAGATAAAATGTAACAGTGCTGCATGACCCACTTGTTGAATCTTGCCCAGTGACAGTACTGGTCACACACAGAGATGAGAGAAATGGAGGATATTATTAATATCATTTCATGAATAATATTATAATTTCTTTGGCTAAGGTTTTACCTCAAATCTTGAAGGGTCAAATTTTTCGGGATGCGGGAAGAAATCAGCAGAGTGATGAATGCTTCTGAATAGAGGCAGCACCTTCCAACCTTTAGGGATAAAATAACCCTCAAACTCCACGTCTTCCACTGCTTCTCTGAATGTGAACGACAGTATACTTGCTGTTCTTAGAGTTTCTTGAATCACCTGAGATATTTATCAGTTCACTTCAATCATTCTGCCCCATATATATATATATATATATGATATTTATATTTCTTGTCAGAATATTTTGTTAATTCAATTCATAACATAATTCACCTGCAATATAAAGCATTTGACTTGTAAGTTGTACCATAAATCTTTTGAGGATGTTAGTTTATTAGACTGTTCGTATCAATCTGAATTTTTGATCAAATAAATTTTGATTTGCATATGTGATTCGAGTTGGCAGTGTAACAACATAACATAACATGTACAACAACATACCCGACTTGTTAAAGGCATGTGTCTAGTATCATCCCACGTAAGCCCACGATTCTCAGCGAATAATTTGCGTCGAATTCCTTCTTGTTCTCTCTGAAAGATCAACTTGTCAGTCTCTGTGTGTTTTTCTTTTTTTCAAAGAATTAAGAAGGGAAAATTAATATTACAGTGACAGCTTCAAGGAGATCGGCATTATCGTGCAGATATTTGATGAGCCATGTTAGGATACTTGCAGTAGTGTCATGAGCAGCAAAGATAACCCCAATGATATTGTCAGCAATTTGAGAATCACTAAGCTGCAGGTTAGGCTTATTCTGGTCCTTTCCCAACAGTACTCTCAGCAAGCCACCACTTTCGTCCCCATCACTCTTCCTTCTCTCCGCTATCAATTCCCTCAACGTCTCATTGAGAAGCTTCCTTGCCTACTCCACAAAAACACGAAATGCACAAAAACATATTTAAAAGTTGAATTATTTAGGGCCCGTTTGATAATCAGTCTACTAGCATGTATGCTTTAGTCCAATCCAAAATTCAATTATTTAGGGCCCGTTTGATAATAAGTCTACTAGCATGTATGCTCTGGTCCAATCCAATGTATGTGCTTTAAGACCAAATTAAGGTGAGTTTATGACATGTCTTAAATTCCAATGCTGTTGTAAAGAAATTAAAAACGTCCAAAGTCCAGTGATATTGATTGAATTTAGAAAATTGGGTGGACCACAAAAATAAAATATACATAATTTTTTTATATATCACCTTCATGGCTTTGTGAAAAGGAGTTCCAGGTAGATCAAGAGGCATAGAATTATAGCCCTTCTCAAGGCATTGATACAGATGTTTAATTCCTTCCATTTCAAAGTCCCTATTGTTGCCGAAGGCTGAAATCATTGCCACATCAAAAGCAAACTGGCAGGCCAGGCCAAGAAAAGGAACCAACTTTAAGATTCCAAATGACTCAGAGTCATGCAAGAAAAGTCAAAATAAATTATACCAACAAAACTGACTGATATATATATTTTACCCTCTTCATCTCTTGCAAAGTGTTGATGCTGCTGTTTTCCCAAGTAGGTAGAAGCCTCAGAACAATTTGCTCAATCTCTGAAACTGACCCTTTTATTGCACAGGGCAAAAGGGCAGCCTGAACCAGCTTCTTCAGACTTGCATGGTAGGCCCCTTGGTGGAAAAATATGGCTTCTGGCCCTATCATTCTCTCTTTGCTTCTTGGATAAGTTGGTTTGAACAGATGTGCCCGGCTCACAAGAACCATTCTTGCTGCTTCTGGGCTTGTAATCATCACACAGGGGCACCCCAAAACATGGGTCTTAAATATATTTCCATACCTACAAAAATAAAATGAAAAATAAATCAATGAACTATATTTCCATTCCTCTCTCACATCAACTCATTACATGTCAATCATGTAGCAAGATTATATACAACTGTTGTATATAAGAATTATATATGCACTAACTATGATACAATTAAAATAAGAAACGTGTTTGATAAAAAAGAAAAAAGCTAGCTAGGATGAACTAGGAAATGAAGAAAATTGCAAGGCAAAGTGGGGGAGTTCTGGTGGTTGAATTGAGTACCGTTTTTGCCTGCTGGAGAAGAATGAATTTGGGTTTTCAGTGTAAAGCCTGAGAGTCTCTCCAATATAAGGCCAGCCCATTGAGCCAGGGGGCAGGCGCTTGTGTTTGGGGTGGCGCCATTGGAGGACCAGGCCTAAGAGCAGAAGGGCTGGAATCAAAAGAAGAACAAAATCAGACTGTGAAAAAGGTGGTGTTAATAATGATGAGCAGAAAAGTTGCATGGTGGTGAAGTGGTGATGGGTTCGAGAGGGAAATGAAGAGGTGGCGTTGGGTGGCTTGAACAAGTAGCTATAGTGGGGGTGACAGTGAAGCGAGAAGGGTGAATAAATGGAATGGTGGGTTGGTTTTTATAATGATGTGTGGAGAGAGAGTTGTTGGTGGGGAGGTTTTTGGGACAGACGGCACTAGTTTTATGGGAACACCTTGCTATGGCCCCCCTTTTTTTTTCTTTTTTTTTCCTCTTTTAGGGTCATCCCCACCCTCCTTTACCCCCACCCTGTCTATACGTATCGATGGGACACTTATAAATAGGATACCGACTACTAATTTACAGTATCTGTAACACGTGATTTGATAAAGAATTTGTAATTCAAATAATTAAGATATCATCACAGTCAATATTCTATGTTCGGTTTCCGTCTTCTCTAATATCGCTTGAAAACCAAGCAATTTTTTTTACCTTTGTAATTTTCAAATGGACAGACCTAGACCTACAATGGCTGATCCAAGTTGCAGCCACAAATCTTGTTTAGCCAACTCGTGGCCTCATACGTGGAAGAATCTCAGGTTGGTTCGTGCGACTGAGCCATCAGTCCGTACAAATTTTAGCACCAACTGCGGGCCACCTTCCTCTTTTTTTCTCTCTCTCTCTCTCTCTTCTTCCTCTAAGTGTATGTTTGGCTCTTTGCCCTCCCCACCTCTTTGTTTTTCTGGGTTTCTATTTTTCTCTTGTTTTCTCTCATCTCATGCCATTTTAGGCAAAACCATTCTCTAAGCTAATTTGCTTGCACTCTCGCTCGATTGACAAGTCATTGTTTGCCTTCCACGTACACCAACAAACACCCCCATTTTGTGCATGTAATGAAGCACAGCTTTCAACACATGGGCATGCTGACAGGATACCCAAACATTTCCTTTTTATATACCTCAATTCAAAAGCTCACGATTTCCATTCCTCGACAGAAAAGGCAAAAGACTTGACCCAGATAAAACAGAGAGAAACGGCAACGAGATTTTTTTTTTTTAAAAAAAAGTTTTTAATTGTTAGTGAATTTCGTAAGTAACCGTCAGTCGTTGATAAGTCTCTGCAGATAAATCATAATTTGACCGTTTCACTAATTATATATTAATTTTGATGGAATGGCGGTTTTAATTAAGTTGATAAAAAGAAAGTGATTAAGTAAAAAAAGGGGGTGAGATGATAAGTTTTGTAACCTAATTAATCCAAGCAAAGCAATTCACGTGGGTGGTGTCTGGTTTACAGTTTTCCTTAAACCAAGTGCCTGCCTTGACTTGTAACCACAGTCACAGAGAGAGAGATGGCTGTGGGCTGTGGGCTGTGGGCTGTGGGCTGTGGCCCTCTCCACTGTGCTGTGGGTGCCGCCGCTTGTTGCTAGCTCATTGCTCACGTTAGTCATGTTCCAAAACTTTGACACTGTTCGCACGTGTCTCCCGCCACGTCACAGCTGGCCTCAGCTACTCTACCCACACGTGTGCCACCACCTCCACTCCACATTCATATAAAACTAAAAATAAAAGTTTCTTTTTTCTGATATAAACAAAATAAATATTACCTCATATTTCAGGGGGAGTGTGTTTACCAAAATCCCTTTTTTTCCATCAGTTTGGCATTGATGTGCTGTGAAAATAATTATTGTTAAATTTGATGTGAAAGAAATCAGCTGTAAGAGAAAGCAATTTGGCGTTTGGTAAATTTTTTGTTATAAGTATTGTTTGTACAAATTCCTGCATAATCAAAAAATGATTCTCGTATAATCATTAAAACTAACGCCTCTTCGAAACTGATTCATGCATAATTAGAAAATGAAAGCACCTCATTAGTTGTTTTCCCTTATAGCTTTCTCTTACAGTAATTTTTAACAATAAGTGATTTTCTCATAGTTTACCAAACGAGTTGGGCTTCCCAAAACTTTTTATAAATCACTTGTCACTCCAAATAAGTAATGTCAAATGGACACGGCACTAGAAACACAAGATATACATACGTGATGGATGACAATAGGTTTTATCCTTATTTATAGAGAATTTTTGTTGGACATTGACTCTTGTTTCATTTTTATTTATTTTTATACAAACGATATTAGGTTTTATCGTCATATCATCGAGCTAGGGAATTGGCATCTCCTTCTAGTATCTGACACGTGTTTCAAACTATTATTTAAAGACTAATAATAGTAAAATTAAGGCAAATTGATTGAGTATCATCTTCCTTGGTCAAATTGAAGCCTTATTGATTAGGTTTCATTGCCTACGCAGAGTGTGAACATACAAATTTAACCACTCTCTTAGATTCACCTTACTATCTAGTTTTATGTGGACTTTTTGACTCTCGTTTGTTGAACTCATAAAATATGATGGATGGAATGGATGCATGGAAATTAAATGCGGGCGGGAGGCCGCAAGAAAATCCCAGCACGTCATTTTTCCAAGATGGACTATCCAAAGGACCTCATTTCTCCAACATCTGGACGGCTATGATTTACCCACCTGCCCCTCTCCTTGAGATCATCGCCTAGCTTTTGATTCTCTGCGCCCTTTACGAGTCTAAATCTCGGTGGCTGCTTGTCGGGTTTTTCCATCCATTGCACCGTAAATGTCAATGCACTCGCGGCCGGGGTAACGGCGACGCAGCGTTTATGGGTTCCATTTCTTTTCTACCCTCCCTGTTCACCTCACCGTTGACTTGAGATGATATGGGCATCTTTGTGAACAGAATGACAAGTAAATATAATATTAAGCTGTGCGTTTTGAGACATTAATTTCGTGCAGGCTTGTTTTTTGAGGATATGGGCATTTGTAAATGCACTGTTTACAAGTGTCAACTTAGGGTAAAAAAAAAAAAAAATGGGACCACAGTATCTTTTAGATCGTCTTTTGATAGTTCAGTCATCAGAGTGGACGGCCATGATCCGTCATAATCATTGAATTATAGTTGTATGGTAAGCCTGTTCAAAGATCAAAAATCAAAATGGTGTGCTCCTTATTGACCTACCACATGTATAGTCTCATGAAGATGGCAGAATCAAAGGCTTTTTGCCGAAGGAAGAATAGAAGACATAGGTCAACCAAAAGTTGGAGAACACGATGGGATCCGAAGGAAATCCCCTAGATATGAAGCGCTCTCTCTCTCTCTCTCTCTCTCTCTCTCTAGGGTTAGTGAACTTGCGAATTATTATACATATTAGAAAGTTACAGAAATTTCATAACGATCACGCATCAAAGTGGTTGATGTTATTTTTTCATTATTTATGAAAAAAGAAGCTATTTTTAAGGCTAGTCCAATTCTCATTGATCTAATACATATATAGTCATCATGACTCGGCAATATCAATGGGGTTCTTGTTAGACTTTGCTTTCTAGCCTACACGACCAATTATAAGTATTGTCGTGCATCAATAATTTGTGTGAATCGAACCGTCCGTTTCACATAATAAAAAGTTATAGAAAATATATAACATTCTCATGTGGGTTTGCATACGTGAGTGATTATCAATTCTTAGTCAGTATTTGTCCGACAAAATATTAATTATTGGTTTTACCGTAAATTAATAATTGCCAATAAATGCATGACAATTGTTGATTTATGCGAATCCAACATTTTGTATTACATAACAGAAAGTTATAGAAAAGTAAATAAGGCTTACACGTACACAAGTAGCTGACGTTATGATTGTTTCTTATGACGAAAAATGGAAGTTGCCTTTTGGACTTGTATTCGATTGTCTCTCTTTGAATAGTTTCTTTTTTGTATCTGGACATCAATATATGTATATATTATTCAAATTTGACTATCTTACCAACGAGATATTTTTCATGTGGACTTTAGTCATTAGCTTGTCGGAGAATTTACGGATTCAAATTCTCGCCGTAGATGTTTCAGGTTGATTTTTCTTTCATTCATGTTGAATAAATCAATGACGTGTTATCTTCGTTGTTGAATGTCATTCACATTTCCCATGTGGATTTCTGATTGTTCCCATATGAAGAAAAAAAAAGCATAGAAAATTGTTTTTGAAACGATGCTCGACTATTTCTTTGCCAACTCATGACTTTCCTTTTTTCCTTTTTTTTTGGTCGAAACTCATGACTTTCCTTAAGTGATACATATTTAGATATGATTTAGCAATTAACAATTTTGATTATGACATGTGTATGTTGAAGATTCCCTAATCACAACGGGATGGACAAAGAGATGCACTTAAATATATAATGATTTGAAAGACAATGCTCTCGCTTAATGTGTGACGTTGTTTGTACTTGTACTTTTTCTTCACTTGTGTGTTTTTTTAACAAACGATAGTTTAAACTACAAGGAGGAAAGAAAGTTTATCTCACACACACACTACCAAAATATCATTGCAATTCGAGTAGGTTACACTCCGTCGGCTTCTTGAGCTGTGTATAATGTTGATTGAGCAGGCAAATGCTTGATTGTTAATGTATAGAAGCTCTTGCATAAAGCTTGCATTAATGTTAACTGCTGGACTTCAGGACAAGCCCAAAACCCAAAAATTAATTGGGCCTCCAACTACTTCTCCTGCGCCTAATATCGATTTGGGTTTACAATGTAGTTTACCGCGCTTTCCACCACCGACCTACATTTCGAGCCTTGCATTAGAAAACCCAAAAGAGCGCATTACGCACGGTCGTAATCGAGCCACGTGTCACTGCCACGCTCGTCGTATTCGAGACACGTAGACGTCACACCGTGCCTAGCTGTCCCAAGGGCTGCCAGCCACAACGAGTTCAATTAAAAGCGGCACCAAAACGACCGAGTAGCAAGTAGCGACTTCCAGAACAAGCTTTACCAAAACCGTGCTTCCAGAAGAAGCCACTCTGTGCCTCCAAGTCTCCCGCCACTTCAAAAACAAAGCCCTATAAATCCTCTGTTTCCCACATCTTCAATTTACTGCAGGCCGGCCTTGAAACCGACTAAATTTCTTTTTATTATTTTTGTTGTTGCTGTTCGAGATTTGGTGAAGATGGTGATGAACATGATGATGATGGAGATTAGAGAAGAAAACGATGGTTGCTGTACGCCGAAACGCTGCGAGTTTCGGATACCGGAGTCGGTGGCGCCGCCTCCCGCGCCGAAAAAGAAGGCGTATTGGGCGGGGAAGAAGAAGCCGCAGCCGCCGAAGAACGGGTATTTCAACCCGCCTGAGCTTGAGCTGCTGTTTGCAGTAACTCCAACACGCCAAGCTTTGGATTAATCAAATTAAATTAATTCCTAGGTGTTTCCTGATTGACCTGTTTTGTTTGGAACAAGATGAGCGGTTATTTGTAAATTTTAATGTAACATAACTACTCTGTTTTGGGCTCTGTTTTCTTGTACACTTGAACTTGAAGCGTAGGGTTTGTACTTTGGTAATGGATAATGATATCGACATCATGTGCACAGTCCATCTTCATCGTCTTCCAGAGAAGGAACTGCTCTGCTGCAAACATAGCTAACATACACACGACATAATCTCGGCTTTGATTTGGAGTTTGAAGTTTGGACTTTTTGAATGAATAGTAATTAGCCAGTGCATGCAGTCCACTAATCCAAAACCAAGTTGGGCTTTACCATTCCAATATTTGCTAATTGGGCCGGCGCTAATTGAAAAAAATCAAATGTTAGAAATTTATGGTAGCAATACAATACGGCAGTTGCCTATGTGGTGCCGTGCGCCCGTTTCCCCTAAAGGAAGCTGATTTTCCCACTCAACTCTTCTCGAGTGCTGCTCTTGATTTGTTTGTTGTAGCTTATAAAAAAATGTATTTGAAGCCACAGGAAGAATCACAAAGGAAATTAACGTATGATTGTCCCAAAGTTAAACAGCTAGCTAGTTAAGCGTCCCATCCATAGCATAGCTAGTTAAATCTCTGGATCACGATGCTTCCTATATTTAATTAAAAGATTCATGTTTAGAGTGTGAACGAACAAGACTTCCCAAAATCAATGCCCCAATCCATAGCAGATAAATCAAAAGCTAAAAAAAATTAGGTGGAAAAGACAGTAACATACTTTATTGTGTTAAATTTCAAAGAGATAAGGGTTTGTGTTCCACTAATAGTGGTACCGATATTGTCTTTAATTTAATTATCTATAAAGTATAATAAATGTGAGGTTTTATCACAAAAGATCTCAGTGTTATCAGGAGTGAAACCAGTTATTATAAGTTGTAGCTTATTTTAACCAAATTTTTTATGTCGGATTTTATATTCTTAAACATGTAGCATCTCTTCCCCATTAAAAAGAAAAAGAAAAAAACATATTATAGAATCATAGATAGGCGCACCCTCATCGCTAATATACATGAGTCATGAGAATTCGAATTATAGACCACTGATTTGTAAGTTGAAGTCTTTTTTTAATTATACTAACCCGATTGACGCTAATATTTTAAGCTAAACGTTGTAGTTGATGGATAAGACGTTTTAATATTTAAAGTAAAAATATGTCCTTGACAGATAAGGGCAGCAATACAAGCCAAAAGGCCAAAGGTATAATCCTCCTAGTCCTACGCACTAAGCTCACTGGGCGCGGCGGAATCTACGAACTAATAATAATATTTTTTATTATATGATACTAAAAAGATTTCTTTCAAAGTTTAATATGACTTTAAAAGCTGAACAGAAAATATGATTCTAAAAAGTTACCACTACGCGTCATATTCCCATTAACTGTTATCCTTCTTTTTCTTTTTGTTCTTTATGAGTGCACTAATCTTAAAAGTAGGCTTAATTATTGATTAGATAAAAAGAACCCAGTTATTTTGTCATTTTCTGATATCTTTCAGTTTCAAATTAGGTTAATATTGTCTTCAACTTAAGGACATGAAAGAGCACTACGTATAGGGTTTTCGTTTGACAAACAATAATACATAAGTTATTTTTATACTTGGGATAACTTACTTGTTACAAAGCTACATCACTATAAAGGGTTAGTCACAATTAGGTATCGAACTCACTATAAATATGTGTCGTTCTTACATTCACGTGAGTTGAACATGATTGAGACTTCCACCGAACTATTAATATATATGTAAAATAATTCTCAAACGCAATTTAAAGTGGTTCGATCCCATTAATTGTTGATTAATATAGACTTAGCAAATACCGGCCATCACTTCCGATTTGTGGAGCGGTGCCTTTACACGTGACCACACGTGGCACTGTCTATTACTATTACTCGTACAATTACAATTAGGTTGCTGCAAATTACAATCATGATGATTTGTTGTACTATAAAAGATGAGTATGTCACATGGCACTTGCCCATATATCAAAGTTAAAGCAGCCGCGCGATTCTTTATCTCTAGTTGGACTGATAGTGGCTTATGGTATTTTGCATAATCAATGTAATAAAGCAGAACACAAGGAATTGTATATTGGATTGCAACTGCCTCCGAGGCTTTGCTAGATTGCACGACATCATTACTTAATGTACATATGTTATATGGATTAGGACTATGATAAATTATAGGTTTATCCAACCGTCACTGAGTTGAGTGTGGTCATCACAGATTGAGCCTACCAAGAACATGGTTGGGTCTAGCAATCACCGGCCAGTCAATTACATGGTCGGGTCCAAACTGGCACTGGGTCAAGACACATTTAATTTAATAGCTTGTTTGTAAATCACACGAAACATTTTTTTTTATTTTTTTATAAACAATTCTCAATTTTCTTTTTCATTTGAAAATTAATATACTTACAAAAAAAATGTTTCTTTCTTTTTTAAAAACTAAAAACTGCAATGATTAACAAATAAGCCCTTAGTTTTTCGGTTCGGTTTCAATAGTATTCACTACAAAATCAATAAAATCCAAAACTATTTAATCATCTAATTATCGTCACTTATGGATTTTTTACTAATCTAAAATAAATTATGACTATGATAATCAAAATAATTAATTTTTTGTAATTTGTTTGAATTTTTTTTCCACGAAAGTTTTTAAATGATACTCCAAATAATGAATACTTCTGTTCATCATACCCTATTTTAAAATGGTTCCAAACAATTTGGATCTTTTGCTTAGACGTCTAGGATTTGCTTGACTCCTCCTCTCAACATGCCGCATCAGACTCTATTTCGGCAACTGGTAAATATTATTGTTTTTTGTTTTTTGTTTTTTAAATGGTGATGTGTTAGCTCTCAAGGCCCTTAGATGAAATTTAAATGATGTGGCATGTGGAGAGAAGTCAAGCAAAATCCTAATAAAATGAGGTTTTCCCAACCTCAAAAGAAAAGGAATAGAAAAATAAAATAAAAGGCTTCCTTATTAGAGGACTAATTTACCCGTAATTAGTGACTTTCTTGAGCCAAAGGTCCTCTCCTAAATTATATTAGGTGGCTGTGGTGTAACATGAAAAGTTGGGAAGCTTATGCGATCTGGGGTCAGGCATGTCCATTCCTCCCACATGAAAAAAGCCTGAGGATCTGGCTTTGTATAGAGAGAATGGAGCGAAATCTTTTAGTATAAAAAGATAGCTACTTAGTTTCTCCTTATATGGGATGGGAGACCTGTAAGTATCAGTGGCCTAGCTAGCTAGGTCTCCTGTGTACTTCTCTCAGGAGTTGTCATTCTGGTCTTTTCATAAATTAGGATGTTCTTCTGCAACTGCATCTTTGATTACTCTCTCTTTCTATTCTTCAACCATAGGCATGTTTTCTCTTCCCCTTAGATGGGACTCGTCAAAGATCTTGCTATCAATTCTTATTGGTTTGCTGTGATCCACACAAGCTAAGTGGCTCGATGGCCTTCTTTATAGATATTTTGTAGTTTTTGAAATCATTTTCCTTTTCTGATTTGTTTTTCCGTTAAATCAGGTGGATGTGTCTTAATTAGCTTCTGTAGTTCCTATAATGATATCCATAAGATGGGTTGGTTATTTTTCGCTTTTCCTCCAACTTTTAGAGTCTAACCAGTACTTCATCCATGGGTTAATTGTCTTCCCTTTAGGGTTAGGGTTTCTGCTTTTATCTGCAAATTTGCATGGGGAGATCTCAAGACTGTCATGATCATCAGTCAGTAGTGAGTTGGTATTCGCGGGTGCGGCATCATCAAGATTCACATACTTTAGTGAGGGGTCTACCTTTATCGATCGAGTTAATTGGTAGTACTAACACCACCAATTGATTTTAGTACTTGGAACTTCCTTTAGTACTCGAAAGGTAGTTCCTTTGAACTTTGAAGTGGGAATCTTGATGATGCTGCATCAGCAAGTACATGACTATTCGGAACCGGCGCCAATTCTTCGATTTCAAACATGACAGGTTGCCCCTTCTTGAAGAACATATTATTTCTGGGGTTCTTTCAATTTCAATTTGAATATGAATTTTGATGATCCCATTTTTTGTTATCTTGTCTTGCTAAACTATAGATAATGACTATTCATCATGTTGATTCTTACTTGAACTGTATATTCACATTCACATTCACAATCTGACATCAAGCATCTCGCAGACAATATATAAGTCTGGTAAGAGAATATTACCCTTATTGTTATAGGTTGTTTACTTTAGCCCTTGCTTAAGTGTTGCTAGTGCTACCTTGATTCAAAAGACTGGTATAACATGAGATGATATGATCCAAAGCACCATCTTTGCTCAGTTATTTGCTGTATGTATTAATTTTCTATGCATTTTAACACCACCCAAAAACAGTCAGAGCACCTGATGGATCTTCTGATTGGCCACCAGAAATGCAAGAGGCCAAGGTAATATTTTATGATAAAAACTGCTTCATATATATATTTCGATGATTGTCATTCTCTTCAGCTTTTATTCTCTTTGAGGTATTAAGGTTAATTATGCATGAAATCCATGGTTTTTGTTTACAAATTTTTCTTAACCAACCGACTTCATATATACTTCACTGTCTTTTTTTTTTAAACCTTATTATTTTTGTCTAATTTTGCTTATCATTTTGCTGTTATCACATATTCTTGTGTAGTTTAGGAATTGGAGCTCTGATGTTTGTTTGATTCTCTTTGCTCTTTATTGATAAGGGGCCGGGATACCCAAGAATGTCAGGAATCTGATGTTTTATGTTTTACATCGGAATCAGCTTTTAGTTTGAAGTCTGTCCTGTCCTATGCGGATTCATGACATATGCTTAATAATATATATATATATGTGTGTGTGTTGTATTATTTTTGGATTGGTATTATTACATGTGAAAGCTTTGAATGACCAAATTGCAGAAGATCATTAATTTTGTGATCCAATTGCAACACGTTTTCTAAGCGCTAAGATGCTGTTTTCTGGCTTGGTTGGAAGGAAAATAACAACTTTTGCTAAAGAAAACAGAGTAAATTTTCATCAACTCAAACAGAAGCATTGGTGTACCTCAGACTAGTAGGAAGCTAGTTAAGCCTTCACTTTTACAGAAGGTGAAAACTGACTTTATGGTTTTTTTTTATTTAAATTTTTTTTATATTATCAGTATAAGGATATGCAATGGATGGTACTAGCCAATCACTCCCTTTGAAGCAATTTAAGCCCGTTTATATCTATGTTTTTAAGTGGTCAGTCTAAGTTTGATATACATTGTTGGCTCATTTCTTGATAGCTTAAAATTTTAGGGCGAGTGTCTAACATGATACCATTGTCTTGTTTGCAAGTAGTCTTGAGTTCAATCCTTGTTTCCAACTTCTTTGTTGTTTTACACAGTGTGTGAGGAAGAGTGTCAGTTTGATACACATAGTTGACTCATTCTCTAATAGTTTAATCTTTTGAAGCGAGTGATTGTCTAATGTACAATTAATAATATAAGTACCCTCTTCATCATTTTTTGGCCGCAAAACATTCTTATTTAGATGGATATATGCACTTGACTTACTTTGATGCTATCTTACGCTACTTCAAGTTGAAGGAGTTCTTCAAAAGTTGATATTCAGCTTAGTATATAAGGAGTTCTTCAAAAGTTGATACCTTATTAAGCAATAAGGAGTTTGTGCATGGGAATAACTTTTTACAGCAATGCCGAAGTTCCAACTTTCTATGAATTCCTTGGCCTGCGTTGTGGAAAAGAAAAAAGAAACAAGCTTAATTGGCATTCCTGCCATTGACAGCATTTTGAATCTTTCGTTAATTATAATATAGATTAAATATTGTTTTCCTCTCAAATCTTGTTGTTAACTTTGGATTATGTAGTCATACTCATTCGCCTTCAAGAATCAGATAGATGCTGCTAGACAAACATATGCATTTATCTAAATGTTCATGCTTACGGCAGTGAGTGACTAAGCCAATTTAATTTTATATCACACTTTGCTACAAAATTACTCTAAATGTCTACATCTCACTTTGACTTAAGTTCCTTCATGTGCTTATTACTTGAACTTCAATATTAGAGAACTCTCGGGAGGTAGTTGAGGATTAGACGAGCACAACTACACACTAAGATCCAATTATCGAACTATCAAAGCAACCTACATATATGTACGTACCCTCTTCTTGCTGAAAGCGATTAGAGATAACTTAGCTCCAAGCTGGCGCTCCCTATCCCTCCAAACGTACCATTCCAGCAACATGGATGATGGTTTATTCAAATCTAACCCAACAACACTATCAACAAGAACGTTTGAATACTAATAAGTGAAGCGAGAAAGAAGGACAAAATGGATAGCAAACCAAAAATATAAAGGACAATATGGAAGAGGGGGTTGGGGCCTAGTCAAGTACGTACAACCTGCAGCATCTCTTAGTGGGTTTTTATTGGGTCCATTTCTAGCAGTGACATCAAAGCAATGGACCCAAGCCGTAGTCCTATTGTAAGTTGGATCCAAAGCTATGCATAATAATCTCAGTACATAAATTAATTGGTTTTTGATTCAAATGGTCTCTGAACTTCATAACGAGTTGCATTTTGATCTCTTAACTAAATTCTTCGTTCAAATGGTCCCTCTACGTTTTATTATGCCACAAAACTAATTCAATATGTATTTTATATTCCAAAATTTTAATATGCCAATTAATAATATAAATACTTAATACTGAATCTGTTGTGATTCTGCAAATTATGAGTCTTATGGGCAAAAACAAAACAATTGTCTTATATTGATGCATATCTCTGATCAAGATACATACTTAAACAAGAAGGCACTACTTTTAGTCGGTCATGTTATGTGTGCTTATAGCTTAGGCAAGTGTGTATCCATTGAAATTGTGGACAGAACCGAAGCCATTTATGACTGATGATGCTTTGCTTGCTTGAGGAATGTAAATTCCGCCCCAAGAATAATAATACACAAAAATACAGCCCGATTTCAAACGTCCTTCTGACATTTTTGTCTCTTGGAAAACCATTATTATTATTACTATTATTTCATGCACACACAGTCTTCTTTCGAGTGTAGTAGACAGGGTCCACGCCTTCCATGGTTCCACGTCCTCCTGGCCACCCTTTTGCTGCTCACATGCATGCATGTGGGCTCTCTCATGTCCCAAATGCTCATATTCTTAAACCCACATGATCATGAACCAGAATTTAACAATTACTTCGTTTATCACGAACCCAAAAAAAAAAAAAAAAAAAAAAAAAACAAAAAAAAAACACTTATAGAAAGGTTACAGTTGTATACCAACCACAACATACCATGTGACTTCATTTTTGACCCATCATCAAAACTTTGGTTTGATTGACCAATTCAGTTTTGTCTTTAATTCCCTAGATCGAGTGGTTAAACACTATTACTTAGATATAATCATACCCATGCAACTAAATAACTTGATTCATTGATCTAAATTCAAGACATGATCATCATGGTATTTGAATTTTGATTTAACTACCTAAATATAATCATGCCCATACAACTAAATGACTTGATTGATTGATCTAAATTCAAGACATGTGTGATGATAAATATGATATTTGAATTTTGATTTAACTATCGTGTCAATATCCACTCAGACTACTCATTTCTGATCAACTAGCTCTTAATTTAATGACGCGCGCTTCTCTTCTCAATAGTGTAAGATACCTTAAGTTCGTACCCATCTCTCCCCAAATGATTTTAAAAAGAAAAACTATTGAATACTAAAATTCAACTCTAAAATGGCGACGTTTATAAACATTAGTATCTAAATAAGAGCCCACACCACAAGATGACCATACAAGGCACCGCCTGTGTCTAAAGCACGTGCACCTGTTTATTTACCCATTTCTTTGAAGGACTTGTTTGCGTTAGTGTGTACTTTTACTAATTTTATTAAGCTGAAGTTGATTCTGCTTTGTGGTCAATATTCCTCTAACAATGATTCAAATCTTCTGTGAAGGTCACATGGGAATACTATTCTTTTTCCAGAGAAAAAAAGCCTTTAATTGCTAATATGTTAACACATTTTAATTTTATAATTAAACTAGAATAATTATATGTTCACATATTACCAAATTAAACTGGAACTGCAAGCACCAAAAAAGTTTAGAATAGACCTTTTGACTGGTCAAACCTTCTAGCAAAACATAATTTGTTTAGCTAATTACATTCCCAATCATAAGATTCCCTCTTTTTATTTTTCTCTTATATTGGGGGTTATTTGAGTTGTAAACGCTATTTTTTAATACAAGCGATCTATTGGAGTAGAGCGCACTCGAATACAAGAGTTCAGTACAAGAATAACTACTCTTAATCATTTGAGCTACAAACCCCTTATAACAATAGACGTACGTTTTTAGAAGTTATAAAATGGTTCAAGATTTATTTTCCAGATGAGTGTAACAATTAATCTTGCAGCAGGCTGGCCAACACACACAAGAAACATAACCCAAATCAATTTCATCATGCACATGCAGCAGGGAGCAGCACCAATGGACACAGATTTGAATTTATTTTAATAGTTACCGGAAACCATACTTGCATAAGATTTCAAACTCTCTCTGACTGTTGATCCAAAGGGTGCATGTGCATGAGAATCCTAACCCTCTTACATATGTACATAATTATTTAAACTTGCATATGCTACAATTGATATATATATATATATATATAAGTAGCATTTAGTTTAGTGGCATATAGTTAGGTCCGTTAAGATTATCTTAGTACAATGTTTTACAATTGCATAGAAGGTATCTTTGATTAATTAGATAATTAGGGGCCTAGATGTTTGTAATTAATGAATTCCTTTTCACAGTCGTCATGAAAAAGAATCCAAGATAAAGCTGAGGAAATTTAAAGAAGAAGAATAGCATGCATTGCATGGTCAAACAGTAACAAGTTCAAGCGCATGCAGTTACTCCTTAATTACAAGATTGCTTACATAAACTAATTGGTAAGAGGGGGTTTGTTTTCTCTCGCTTCAATATAAGGTAATTATCACATGTAGCGGAACGTAACTGATTGGAAATAGCAAAACAATATTATCTTCATGATATACAAATTTTTCTCGTTCAGATGGGCCCTGTAAATTTTCAAAAAGATATTCTCAGGGTAACCGAAAAACAAAATGAAAAGAAATTTGAATTTTCAAAATCTGCAGAGTACTGTATGTGTTATGTTTGGTACAAACCTTTCACATGAAGAACAGAAGCAAGCATTGTCCAATGACCAAGGTTTGCGTGGATCTCCATATATTTTAACGTTGCAGCGCCGTACAATAATGGCGTCTCAAAAGAAAAATATACATTAAAAAAACAAAATAAATTAAAACGAAAAAGAAAGGATCTTCTCCTCCTTCAGAATTAGGAGGTGATATGATATGCAATGGGAAAAAGACTTTGAGTCTGCGGAGAAAGCAGCCAATTGGTCAATGACATAGAGCCATCTGACAGTCATCAATAAATGATCATGCACACATGCTGCACCAACAAAATTACTTGTCCAATATTTACCCATCAAATTTTCATATTACAACATAAAATAAATCTTAATTTTAGGATTTCAGTATATATTACACCTAGATACATTGTTCTGGGTATATTCATGAGTGCATTGTGTATAATCTTTATAATGTACCTAATCAAATAAACTAATTTTTTTTGCCTAGTAATGATGAAACGTTAATTTAACGAGTGTCAGTTGTCGAATTTAAAACATGCTCACTTTTAATTGTATCACAAAACTAACAAGTTAGAAAAGAGCAGCAAATCTGATTAAATACTTGGGTTTAGTATAAATAAATAAATAAACCATCTTAATAATGGATGAAAATCTAAGGGCTCAATAATAAAATTTCTAGTAAGTTCTACTCATATGTGGTCAGTAATTTCATCACTATACGTAAGCAATCACAAAACATCCCCACCAAAACACTCCCTACACCACTATATATAATAACACCAATACCCCCACTGTACCCACCGACCCACAGGACCATACTCCTATCTCTCTCTCTCTCTCTCTCTCTCTCTCTCTCTTCAGAAACACACATTGACATTATAAAGCAAACAAGTTGATGAGAAGTTAAGTGCCAGCTACCAGAGGCCAGAAGAGATCGAAGATCAACCTCACAAATTTGAGCATTGCAAATTTACATACTATTATGGATGAGAAATGGAAGCTGCCAAAGAAGCACCAAGAAGGCACTTCGTCTTCTTCTTCTTCTTCTTCCAAGTTTGCATTCACAAGGAGTTCATCAACAAGAAGCCAGTCTTCAAATGCTCCTCTTTTGATGAGGACCTATTCACAGAAGAGCAATGCCTCTACTTCCAAGTGTCCACTTCCCAGAAGTACGTCACAGAAAAGCTCTAAAATCAGCAGAAAGTGTAGCAGCCTTGCCAAGGAACAGAAGGCTAGATTCTACATCATGAGAAGATGTGTTGCTATGCTTGTTTGTTGGCATAAGCATGGCGATTAATTAATCTTGATGGGATTTCCCAAATTAATCCATTATTGTGTTAGTGCTAGAAATTAAGCTATCTCCCCTCTTTTATTTCATTCATATATAAATATATATATATATATATATATCATCTTCCTGTGTGATGGGACTCATAGATGTATCAAATTTTCTCCCATCTGATCAAGAGGAGACTGATAACACAAAAGTTCTCTAGTTTTTTAATTTTAACTTTTTGCTTTTCTTAATCTTGGTTTATATTAGAGAATTATATATATCATTTGTAATTACAATTGCGATGAGCTACCAAGTCTTTTATATGTACATTGTGAAAAGAGATTAGCAAATATATCAAATACATATTCAATGTTCAAGTTAATCAAATCTCATGACTAACCCAACATCCATAATTTTAAATAAATAAATAAATAATTTTTTAATGTTTGGAGGAGAGAAAGATTCCCTTTGGATGTTGGGGGGAGCTGCCAATATAATAAGACACTAGAAGTAACTTCTATCTACCTCGGAAATGCAAGCCACACCTTTTCGTTTCTTTGATGAGAAATTTTGAGTAAAAATTCTCTTAGAAGTGACATCATACTTTAGTTTGATTTAATCTAGGAATGTAGCTTCTCTCCCATGTATCCTCCTTATACACTAATCTCGATGCCTACCTATATTCTAATTGTGCCGTATGCCGCTGCTGAAAAAAATGGAATATATTAATAACTTGCTTAAATTTTTGATACCTTTTCAATTGTCAACATGGAAAGACCAATGTTTTCAATTTGACAATGGAATCAATTTGACAATGGAAGAGATACATGAGAGGTTTAGCTCATTTTTGTGTGGAAAATTGGTGTTCTCGATTGATGATTTGAAATTATTTGGGGAATCAATCTTGTAAAACGTGCATGCCAACTATGGGTGTGGATCATAGTTGAAGAAATTGATTTTCAAATACACACAAATTATAATGAAAATAAATAGGAGCTTCTACATTCTTACCAATAATATTGTGACATATGTGTATAAGTTTTTCGTATGCATGGCAATATGTGAATGTGTATACATTCCACTTCATTTGCAAAATGTGCTATAGAATATAGATCAAGAATTGATCCCACCATGGACAGACCCAGGATTTGAAAATAGGGTGGGCTAAATTTACCTTACATACAGACCTACTAAAAGATAGAAAACTCGACGGTACAAGTTAATTTCATTGATAACAAGAAGTTCCAAATTTCTAATTTTTTTAAAAAAATTAATGTTAGTATGAAAATTGTATTGTCATTTCCTATACTCTAGCATAAGTCGGGAATTAGGATGTGAATATCTTTTACTAGAAGTTTTGGCGCAACATATTCAATCCCGGATTTTCAAAGAAAGACTTGATCGATATGAGAAAACTGATTTCAGGTAAATCATGATATAATCATGCATTCATTATAAGATTCCTAGTTGGAGTTATTTTCACTCAAGCACTTTTATGTTAGTCCTATTTTTAATATGATTAGATTTTATCTCTTGAGATTACTTTCCTAGTCGGACTCTATTTTGATTTAAGTTAAAATATTATGTTTTCATCATCTTGGACTTGGAAAATATGTTTTAATTAACATCCTATTTGGTTTTGTTGTTTACATCTTGATATACATTGTTTCATTGGATAAACAATTGATTGGAGTGCAAATGATAAGCTGACGAAACCATATAAGATTCTAAGACTATCAAATTGAATGAATGACAAGATATTAAGTGGTGGTTGTAACATCTTATATCGACCAACGGAGAGAGGATGATGTGTCTTATATGTACATGCCCACCTCCATCTAGCACGAGGGCTGAGCTTACTGACTTTGGAGTCATGGGAACTTCGAAATTAAGCGAGTTTGGGCTAGAGCAATCCCAGGATGGGTGACCCACTGGGAAGTTGCTCGTGAGTTCCCAGAAACAAAACCATGAGGGCAGAGAGAGGGCCAAAACGAACAATATCGTGCTACGGCGGAGCCGATCCAGGGTGTGACAATGGTTGTGGGCCTTCACGTGAATGTGGAGAATGAGTTTTGCATAAATCATTGTGTGCATCTCTTTTGGAATACACAGCTTTTGATATTTGTGTTGAGCATATAGAATTCTTAAGCAAAAGCTGATGTGCATATATTTGAAATAAATCATCAAGTGTTCCATGTTTAATTCATGATTTATCAAACACTTTAATAATTCATATTGCCTTCATTTGCATTGTTCGGTGACTCATACGGTTAAGGGCACTAAGACCGTGGTGACGGTTTTCCTCCGACGAGCTTGAAGCAATTGTGACCAATATTGCGTTCAACATAAAGAGTGGCGAAGATCATCCCATGAAAGAAGTTGAGTTACGAAGAAGTCAGTAAACATTATCTAGAATGTGTCTAGGATAAGTGTGTGAGTATTTATTGTAATCATCATTCTATAGTGGATTTATGTTGGACTAAGGAGTCCCGTGGATTTTCCCCAAATGTGTGGTTTTACCACGTAAAATAATTCTCTACGTGTTTCTTTGTTTTATGTTCAACACGTTTCATAATTGGTAAGCCATGTTAATCCTGCTACCAAAGTTTATTTTTGTTGTTTATTGATCTTAAATTGGCCTATTCACTCTCTTCTAGACTTTTTTAGTCATCTTACAGGTAATTTTAATTAAACCTATGTAAATCTAGAAATATAGAAAAATTGAAGTAGGAATTTTATGGTCAATTATGGCAATTACACAATAAACTTCTCCTTGAAAGGAAAAAAATTGAAAGCATTTATCCATTAGAAAAGAAGAAGAAAAAAAAAACTGATCCATTTTAGTCCATCTAGCCATTCAAGCCAACTTGGAAAATAAAAATGAAAATATGGTATTCAAGCCAAGGTAAATGATATATGTCACATGTGTGAGGTTAGTTTATGTTTTTAACTAAAGAAAAAAAAAAGAAGAGATTTTCTATGGGTGGGATAGGGGTGTGTGTGTCCGTGTGGGGTGTAAAAAAACAAGTCATCAAGGCCCTATTATTAACCTTGGGCTATAAAAAAATCAAGTCACCTAGGCTATAGACTAGGTTCATTTATGAAATTAATTAAAATACTTAAATTCTAATTATTCATTAAATAAAGAATAATTAATATAATTAAATAAGACTAAGATATTACTTAATTGCAAATATTAAACTAAACAAACTAATTTAGATATATAAAATAAAAATAAAAAGTCCACAAAAAATTAATTAAAATTAATTAAGTAATTTATGAAATTATGAAAATATTTAATTATTAATTATTTCCTAAATAAATAATAATTAAAACATAATTACTAATTAAAGTAATAGAAAAAGGAGTTGATTTTCTCACTTCTCTTTTGTGCACTTATACTCCCTTTGTTAGAAATTATATATTCCCACTCATTTTTTGTGCACTTACACTCCCTTTTTTGTTATAGTAAAAACTATTAAAAAAACAAAAGGGAGTGTAAGTGGACAAAATGGGAGTGAGAAAATTACTACCCATAGAAAAAGGCTAAGATATTATTTAATTACAAAAAAGAAAACCATGTTGTGCATTATAGTCGTGCAGCTATACTTTTTAAATATATTAATATTTAAAGAGTATAGTTGTCATCTATATTGTTCAAATACATTTGAATATTTTAAAAGTATAGACACATGGTTATACTGTTAAAATATTTGAATATATTTGAAGAATATAGCAGCAATGATGTATGTGTCTATGGGGTGTAAAAAATCAAGTCACTAAGGCTGCTTATTAACTTTGGGCTATAAAAATCAAATCACCTAAGCTATAGCTGAGGTTAACCTAGATGTAGGACCGTCTCGGGTCCCACATTGGATCAAAATAGGTTCGATAAAGAGTTAATGTATGGGTGGATAGGCAACATCACCTAACAACATGCTAGTCTTTTGAATTGAGTGCATGTATGAAGCTAGTGAGAGGCAAAACAGGCCCATTTCAATCCCACATTTTCTTTATGTTCCACATGGAGGGCTATGACGTGTTAGGGTATTGTGCGTTCATAAGAGGGGTGAATGTCGTGGACAAAAAATATACCTCGTGTAGGAATTGATTCGATCAAGAGTTTGAGTTTGCACCAGTGGATCTTCTATTGTTAGTGTTAACAAGGAGAAATTCGATAATTTTTTTTCAGTGAATGGGAATGAAGAATTTAAACTTAAAATATCTTCCAACACCGAAAGAAGTATCAATGTAAAATTGCATTATTGTTTATTTCCAACAAAAGCATCAATGTTCCGGCTAACACAAAATCTCCACAATTTCCTTCCATTTTCAGGGGAGGGTGCCAAATGTTGCAAGCCTTTGGCTACTCTATAGGGCGCAAATGAAAACAAAAAATTTAAGTTACCAAAAGAAAAAAAGACAGAGAGATAAATGTATAAGGAGCCTCATTGTATCCCAAAAAAGAATCAACGGTCAACACTTGGGAAGATCCGACGGTGGAGGAGGCAGTTTCTGATTAGGGAGCTTCCCATCCTGGACTACCCATGCCATCCTTAGTCCCCAACTCAAATGGACATCGAAGTGGCAGTGCAGTAGCCAAACCCCTGCAATTTCAGTCATACCAAAAACATTAAAGGAAAAATATTGTTCGTATCATTGAGTACCAATCTACAATATTTATGTACTGTCAATATTTATTAGAATTGTGTTAATATATGATAGCATCGAACAAAATATAGATTAGTACCCGGTACGAGCCAATCCCTGCCTTAACATTATTTATTTGCTTTGTTCTTATTATGTGTTGATATTGTGCTTATTATGTGAAACAAACCAGCAGTTACCTGGATTGTCCGCCAGAAATCGGATAGCCACCCAACCCCCCGAAGGCACTCCAATAGTGTTCCTTTCAACAGGATCAACAAGGTTGAAGCTGGCAGGGTCTTTGTTAGGGTTAAAGTTTCCAAAACCTTGTCCAACAACAAAGAAGTTGAAGCCATGAAGATGGACAGGGTGGCTCTCAGCACCCAAAATGCCAGTGCCCTGCAACACCACTTCCACACTAGTATTAAACTTGAGCACCACCGCTTTTGTCCCATTGCTCACATTGGTGTTGGTGTTGTTGGATGGAGTGCCTGTGTAGTTGAATGGCTGGAGAGGATTGGTGGGAAAATCTGTGGTGAAAACTCCATTGGATTTGCCAAAGAAATGAGATTGAAGGAGGGCTGTTGTGGGAAGAATAAAGGAAATATTGTTAAAAGAAGCTGCAAATTTGCTGCTGTTGTTAGGCCCTTGGCATGTCTGGTTTTTGGGGCATGGGTTGGTTCCAAGGCCTACTGTGAAGAAGAAGCGTTTTTGGACAGTTTTCGGCACATTGGCTGGGAATTTGGAATTAGCCAAACTCCTGAATTTTGCTGAAAAATTTGCAACAAATGAGGTGGCATTGATTTGGGGAAGGGTTGGCTTTAAAAGAGGAGGGTTTTTTAGGGAAGTGGAGGCAGAGGGATTTGAAGGGTTTTTATATTCAAGGATTCCAGCCACAGTGGAATTGTCAAAAGTGCCCATGCCTGTGAAATAGGGCCTGGCAAGCATGAGGAAAGTGGCATTTGGGTAGCTTGGCTTTGTCCTGAGAAGCACATTGGTGGTTTGGCCTGGAGTGATGAGCAAAATATCAGTCTTGAAGGGCTTGACATAAAGAGCATCTGCTTCCACTACTGTCAGGCTGTGGTTTGCTATGCTGAAAAACAGTTCATCATTGACTGCAGCGTTGATCAAACGCAAGAGGTAGGTCTTGCCTGGCTTCACCTTTAGCCTGAAAGTGTCTGAAAAGCATAAGAACAAGAAGAATTAGAACTTCATTTGTAGTGAGACAGGACTTGTGCTCCATAGACAATAAGGCTCACATGACCAAGACATATATACCCTTTTTGGAACAATTGTACAATGGCCCTGGAAGTCCATTAATTGTGTAGGCTTCAGAGACATTTGGACCTGCTCCGGTCTGAAGAGCCTGGCGAATAACAGCCTCTGGATCAGCCTTCCACCACTCACCTGCAATGAATTGGTCAAAACAAGTTAGCAAATTAATTGTGGCATGAATCTGTTATTATGTTGTTAGACTGTCGAATTTGACAAAACATATTCTGAATCTAACGTGTGATTCAAGATTAACAGTCTGACAACATAACATGAAAATTACTCGCTTAATTAATTATATTAAATTTGGTGGGTTTAGTTACCAAAAATGATGGGAACTTCTTTGTGGGGTTTGGGAAAAGGGTAGGAAGCATTGTGCTTAGGGAGGATAATGAGGGGTCCATAGACAGTAGCTCTTAGCCATGAGATGTGAGCATGCCAGAAGAGAGTTCCCCTTTGGCCAGTGATGGTGAAGTTGTACACATAACTCTGGTTAGTTTGAATAGGGCACTGTGTGATATATGATGGCCCATCTGCCCATCCACTCTGCAATTGTCTGATCCCATGCCTGTGTTTAAACAAAATTTTAAATTTTTTTAAAAAAAACAGAGAATTATACATAGATAATTAGAAAATCTGAATTTTATATATGGATAATGTGAAAGTTGTGTCATACCAATGGAGGCTGATGTTGTTCTGAACATGATTGACCACCTTAACCAAAATCCTGTCTCCCTCTCTTGCAATAATTCTAGGACCAGGGAACTTCCCATTCACAGCCACAATGCTCTTTGTCTGGCAAAGCCTAGTCACATTTTTCAACTTTATCTGCACAAAAATTACACAAAGATATAATTAATTTCAGCTCCGAAAAAATTATAATAATAAGCTCAATGGTGGCAGTATAAAATATTTATGGTGCGTACATCAAATCTGTAGTGCCTTGTAACACCACTTGCTGCAGCAGCAGAAAACTCAGGAAGGGACCAAAAGCAGCTCAGAGCAAGAAGAAAAGCAGCTAAAAATGCTGGTGATAAAGGGAAAGCAGAAGCCATTTTTTAAAAAAAAGTTGGTGTTTCTTTTGAGATATCTCTGAAAAGGTCCGAGGAACTGAGGCTTGTGAGAGTAGTTTATATACAGATGAAAAAAAGTGTGTTTGGTCAATTAGGTAATGGGATGTTACAGGTTTTTGACAAGGGGAGAATTTACCAACTGAACTTGTTGGTCAATGAAGTAAAGTTAATTAATTTATTTCTGTCTGTCAATTTGGTGCACGCTGCTGTCCTCTTAATTTTTGTTCTTATTTACCAGATTTTGTCCATCGATCATTATCCTCAACAGAAGCCAACGGACTCTTTTTATATCTTTTCACAAAAGCCCGTTTGATCTAGTTCAAAAAGCCACTAATTGTGTTGTTACAAGTGGGGTATGTGGGGGTTTGTATAACTATTGGCAGGTTAAATTAAATTTCTAGGGCCTTATTTAATTATTCACCTAATTTTCCACAATTTAGATATTGCTTATATGACAAGTGGCCATGTATTATGACCCTCACAAAAACCATTAGTTATAATACATTTGAAATATACCCTTACATGCAAAATTATCTTTAAAAACCAATATACATATGCCGGGTCGGTGCCGGTTGAGATTTTAGCAATACTGACTGATGTCGATCGGTTGTTGAATTTGTGATTTTTAGTCGGTAACTGAATCGATTTCACCCTTAATTTTAACCATATATATATATATATATGATATCTTTCATCTCTTTCGAGTGGTGGAGTCACATGTAGGTGTGAGATGGCCTTGGCTCCTAATCTACATGTAATTCTATATACTCTTCCAAGAATTAGTATACAATTTTGAAACAAAAAATTCATGCAATGGCCCCCAATTAAGATATTTGGACTTCTTGACCACTCTAAAAAAAAAATTCTAACTCCGTCCCTTCCTCCAACTCTACGTACATAATCCATAAACACTAGCTAACTCAAGGCCACATGACAAATGATACGTCATTAAGCTTGCACCACGAGCTATGATTTTGCCTTGTGCCTGTCATACACCACGAATATCTTGCCATCATGAACACCGACAATTTTTGTAATTCTGATTTCATGTGAGAAAAATATTATCTTTATGATTAAATTATGGTTTTATGAAATGGTTGAACTTTTGCACAACTTGGAAATTATCAATTTCCACAAAATTCCAACAGTCCGTCAGACTTTGGTGGCCCAACCCAAAGAGATATGATCTATCAAAGAAATATTAATATATTTTTCTGAACCGAAAAACAGAAGAGAGAAATATTACATTTGAAGTCATGATTTTTGTGTCCAATCATGTTGATGCAGTTCATGCAAGACTCACTTGAGGTTGGGCCTCTGCCAGCCAAACAGAAATTAATACCAAAGACTCCAAAGAGGACGACATTTGATCCACCACCAATCTTTCAAGCAAGAAGAGAAATGATAACAATTGAATTAGGTTTGGTTTCAATTGTGCTTACCCCATTTAGCACAAGCTTAGACTTTAAAACTAGTTTGGATTGAACAAGAACTTGTTGGATCTTCACCCTACCCTGTGTGTTGATGCACCAACTACACTCCTTATAATCTACTCTAAAACTACAATACATTAAGAAAAATTAACTACACCTAATTGCAACACTTAGTCCCCCATCTCATAATTTTATCACCCAAAAAAGGGAAAGAAAAAGTAAGTAATAATTCAACTGTGGAGACCAAGTTGTTATACGTACGTATCTGTACCTGCAAGAGAAAGATCAGCATGTGTGTGTAATGATGATATTGTGGGAAAAGAAACCGGTGTTGAAGATGATTAGCACATGAAGGATGACAAGTTTTTTTATGGTGTACCAAAAAGAAGGGAGCAAGAAACCAAAAAGGTTTAAAGCATATTCACTCTTAATTAAATTCATTGAACGTGGAAGAAGCAGCGATCCAATGATCCAATGTAGAAATCCAGGTTTTTAAAACGCATAGTAAGCAAATGGTAACTAAGGAAAGAACAATTTCACTTTTAGTGATTTATGAATTAGGATGTGAATCCAAATTCCACATGCATTATTCGAATATTTTGAATCTTGCCGAACTCTTGTTGTGAACGTGGAGCAAGTGTAATATAAGTGGTTGAACTCAGAATTGTCGTTTATGAGATTTGAATTCAGAACTTGCTTCAACAAGTGGAGATTGTAACTAAAAGCATCCGCAATGGTTGTTCAATAGTGCAATACTATTTTGGGATCTATTGAATTGAACTGCAGTTTTACTTACAATGGTACAATTCAATAGCTTCAGTTTATTAGCATGTGGGTCTCATAGTTAGCTTATTGTAATTCAATAGAGGGTTCACCACATAGCATCATCTATTGCAATGAACTAAATCACGCCATTGCAAGTGAGATTTTACTATTTTAGTTCAATTTCATGTAATAAAATTGCGTTGATCCTAACCATTGTAGATGCTCTAAGATAAAGTGAGGGATCAAAACCTCGACAGTGTAGATGCTTATCCAATATAATAAATGAGGATTACACAAAGCTAAAACTTTTCTAGGGCCATTATTAAGAGGAGTGGATTTGGTATTGCTTACATGATAAACCTTTCACGCAGAAAAAGCACCAAAAGAAAAAGAAAAACAGGATAACCATTGTCCAATTCCAAGTTCTAGAAAACACTCGAACATTCTTAGTTTTAAACAAACACAACGCAAATTATTGAAATCCATTTGTGGTAATTTTAATTAGCTCATTAATTAATCCCAGATCATAACAACTGCTATCACTCCCACCCCAAGAAGCACAGCAAGAAACTTGAAAGCTGGAGTGTCAAAGTAAGATTTGGCTTGTGGCTTGAAGCCTTTGGCAATGAGATGGTTGATTGCAACATAGATGAAAACCCCACAAGCAAGCCCCATGGAAATGGCATAAATCCAATCAGCTACACGTCCTTGAGTTGTGGCATCAATGGCAATGCCTATGCCTACTCCAATGGGGCTAGAAACAGCAAAAGCAAAAGAGTAAGCTGCAGTCACCAGCAATGCCCTCTTAGGTAGCATTCTCAGTAATGCTATCCCCATAGCAACGGCTGCAAAAATCTTGTGCAATGATATCGTCCACAGATTCCTCCATGCATCTGCCTTTGTATCTGCAATATATATACATATAGTTAAATGCATACGTATACGTATACGTAAACGGGTGTTCGATTTCCTAGAGTCGGATTGTGGAACTTAAAGTTTAGGGTTTAGATCTTGCCAAGTTAATCAATATTATACTCTAAACTTTGAATGTGTGTCTTTTAGCAAATTTATATGCACCGTTCGATCGATTGCATAGATTTATTTGAAGAATCAGATTTACATACCTATGCATAAATATTAACACACATAGGAAAGATGACCAATTTGGACTCTATATATAGTTTGGGAGTTCTTTTCTTCAATCAGGTTCATATACGTTCAATTCTTCAATCAAGTCCTTATTTTACAATCTTGATAATCTATAGAAAAAGTATGGGCAAAATCCGACTGTTTATCTATTGTTGGCCTCACATGCACCAACAATCAAAAATCTCTCGTTCATGCGTAAGCGACTGACCGTAGCATAATTTTTAGGGTGATTGTCCCTAACATAATCGTTATTGTAAATCAATATTTGAAATATTGTATTGTGAGATAGAATCATTTTTGCTTCATTTATCAACTTGTTAGACAAAATTATTACTTCTTTGTGACTCAAAGCTGCGAGAACTGATTTGAGGCACCATCTAACAATCTGACGAAGTTATAAACTAACCTCAACTATAGCGACCTAACTAAAACCATGGGGACTTAATTGAGTAGACGCGCGAACTACAAGGTTCAAATTCATTAGTCATTTTCTATGTACCAGCAAAAGAAAATCTGCCCATAGTTAGATGGATAAGTAAAGCATGCAGAGTTATAGATATATACCATATATATGAAATTAATGTGAAATCAATAAGAGTTAATGAGAGCTCAAACCATACCTGCAACTCCAACAGCAATACCCTCAAAAACCGAATGAAAACAAAGGGCAAGGATAAGAAGTATGGTGTCTCCGAAAGACGATGTCTTCAAGAAAACCGGGCTGACGCCATCTTCATCCTCCTTATGATCATGCTCTGCATCAGTCCTTCCCTCCTCCACTTCCACTCTAGCTTCTTTTTCGCTGGAACTTGTCACAAATAGCACGATGCAATCCCCGAGCATGGTTAGCAGATACCCAGCCGATGCTAGCATGAATGCAAAAGGGTATGTTTTGGTGGTAAGGTCACCAAATGTCTCAGCTGAGTCACTCAAGAAATGCATCAAAGAGGTACCAAGAAAAACCCCACCAGCAAATTGCGTGCCCAAGAGAAGAAAGCTTTCGTTCCATCGGTAGAAGTAGGGGGAGATCCCACCGGCGAAAGTGCTCACCAGTAGAATAATCAAACACCATACTTTCACCAAAACCAAGCCTTTCGAATGCAGAACTTTATGTTCGTCCTCAGTGCCGCTACCACTGTCATGTTCTTCGCCGCCATGACACTTGACTAGAAACGGTTGCAGGAGTAGCAGCAAAGAAACTAAAACACAGGTTGAGTTGAGAGTCTTAATGAAAGGGATGGAAGCCATGGATGAGTTTTGATGAAGCTCCTCTCAACCCAATGGATTGTGTGCTAAGTTATTTATCTAATGGTTTCGATTGCTTATACATTTAAACCTTCTTGTTTAATGGTTAAACAACAATAATTAAACAGAAGCCGACTGGCCATATATTGGCTCGCATTAAAGTCTCTCTCTTTGTAGTACAAGTTTGACTTTCGAAGATCGTATAGCATTGATGTACTACACAAGTTCCACAAGAAGCTTGTTTGTTCCCCTATGCTTAGCTTAGCTATATACCAATATTCTATTTGGTCCGGCGGAAATAAGATGGCAAGTACTTTTTTATGTGACTCATCAAATCATGATACATTCAGTGATGTTAGATGCAAAATCAAACAAATATTCAATAGCATAAACTTCAAGATAATATGTTGTATCTCTATAGACTTTATTTCTTTTATAATATGGAAAGTCACATCTCTCATAGTCGAGATCACGCTAATATTACGCACATATTACGCACGATATATACACATGATAGATACTGAGTGAAACCCCAGACATATATCATTGATTGACATATAATTCTATAATCATGAACCCAAACATAGTGGTTATATACAAGTTATGCAAAGATCCCCCCTTATTTGCAAATTGCAGTAGTATATGTGCTTCATTGCGTATTTGTACTACATTGCATTTATGTACTACGATGCGTATACAGCTTGTGTAACAAGGCTCGTTACACCATGTCTGAACCGTCGGATTCGCTCTCCCTGCTCTCCGGCCATCTTGATCCAGCTCTAAATTTGCACACAGGGCATGTGCCTTGCTGCCGGAGCCATGGATCTATGCAGTTGGCATGGAACTGCAAAAGAAAATGATACTCTTGGCATTTGAATGTACAAACCAAAAATAACGGCCAACACACGGCCTGGATTATTAGAATGGAAAATTCCGAATTTTGCAACTTGCAGCATAGTGAGTAGTTCAAAGTTTCAAACCTCAGATATAAGCAATTAAGAATGACCACAACTTTCTTTTCTTTTTTCTTTCTTTCTTTTTTTTGGTTGGGTACCACGTCAGGAAACCAGTATTGACAACACTCGGTGAGAATTTTTAAAATAAAGAGGGAGGATGGAGGAAAGTGTGCACAAGAAAACGATTGCAATTTAATGAATCTTACTAATCGCATTATGTACTGCTAATGATAATAACCCACAAATCAAGACTGAAGGCAGAGGGTGTACCTGATGCAAACATGGCAAGCTACGCACTAGGTCCCCTCCGTTAACTTGCTCCAAGCAAATGCTGCATGTCAGCTCATCTTCTGGATCCTTCATGCCTCCATCCACCCTTTTAGAGTCTTGCTTTTTCAGCTAGGAAAAAATGGAATCAAGAAATTGAAAGCTATCCATGGAAAGTATGCATAACGACGACAATGTGCACTGTGCATTTGGGAAGAGAAAAAGAAAAGCCACAAAGAAACACATAGAGAGATGTAATACACTACTATGTATATGTTGGTACGGGTTTGTCATGCAACCAACTGTTAGAAAATTATGCGAAAAGTAAACAGACTCAGCAATCCAGGCCACCACCTACAGACTACCAAAAGCTTGAAAGAAGGATGTGAAGGTAACAGGTCAGGGCCAAATTCAATCTGCCACATGGCTGGAAAAAACTGTGTACTGAGAACCAATAAATGAAATGTGCTAATAAGCTTCTCATAAGATTTCAAAGTTGATTGTACCTTTCCCTAGACTCATTGGAAACAGAGCACAGCTCACAAATATATATTTACAATGTAATACAGTTAAGTGACAAGCTAGCTGTTTTAATCAAGAAAAAGTAACAACCGCCAGGCAAATTCTTATCAGATAGGCAAGCAAACTAAGGGTTCAAGAGAATACCTCAATTGGGGCTGAAGATGATGATGCCTGTTGCAGTGATGAACCATCCCTATGAACAGAAAAGACATCTTATCAAATAATGTCACATTTGGTGAAGTTAAATCCGAATAAAAAGAAAAGGAACCTGCTATTTGTTATATAAGAATATATTGAAAGAGTCGCAGATATATAAATAAAAAAAATTCTAACAAGTGACATCATGCAAGAAGTGATGCAAGTTTTTTCCCATCTTACAGGATCTCTGGGTCAGTGACTTTGTGCTTGTGGACAGGTAAGGCATTAATCTCCTCCTCGCTCATTGAAGTTGCTGTAGAGGCATTATCAGAGTCCAGAGCCCTCAAAGTATCATAATCTGCAATTGAATGAACGGAACAATTCATCTTGCCAATACACACATGATCGAAATCCAACTAAACTAGAACCAGAGATCTAGACTTGCTTTGGACATCTTTGAATGCACCTTTAACTTCAAAGAGGGAGCCAGTCTGATGACAAAACTTATCCAAGAAGTACAATTCAGACAAAAGACAGTACCTAGATCATCAAACTCCCGGTCAAGTAGTGCCAACTGGAGTCTTAGTCCTTGTAATCGTCCTCTGGTTGCAAAAGCTATTGAAGGTGGCATGTGCAGTCGCAGTTCCGTATGATTAAGCAAGCCACTGGCAGCTGCAGCATGTGCTCTAGCCTGTGCTTGAAGTTGCTGACAAGTTGCAAACATCCTCAGGGTTGTGGCCATCAAAAAGACACCCACAACTAGCCAGAGCTGCATACACAGATACAGAGGATTACCTCCTTCTAATTGTTATATAAGTTCTATTTTCCAAAGTTTCTAAGTGAATCACTAGTATGCTTAGATTGGACGCTCAATGAAAACATACCAGAAAATTCGGTGACATCTGGTGAGAGTTTAAAAGCATGAATAGCAAGATAACTGTTAAGCAAACAGGCAACTTATGGATCAAAAATGTGGTCTAGTACAAGGCATGCAATGAAAAAAAAACAGAAACAAATGCATTACCCGTGACAAGAAAAGCCAGTGAATTCGTGCTTACTGGTCGAGAAGCATGAATACGCTGATAGAAAAAGGAAAAAGTGTCAGCAGTCAGCAGAATGGCATGATAAACTCATCAAGACATGTATGAGTTACAAATGACCAGGATGCATATAGATACGTATACAACATAGCATGCATACTTCCACATGTAAATGTATGTAAATGAACATACCATTGCTGGTCGTTCAGGAATAAATCCTGGAAAGCCACTTTCAATATCTGCTCTAGCCCCTCGGAAAACAAAACTCATAGTTGCCACTTGCAAAAGATTTCAAAGAATTCCCCTTGTCGAGAAATTAATAAAGAGATGAGTAAGGTGAAGTACTCGAGTATTCGAGTATAACAGTTTATATATCTCCCCAACCTGCAACAGCTGCAAAAGTTCCGAAGTACATCAGTTACTACTACACAAACAAAATTCAATTGTGAAGCAGGGGAAAAGCTGACATGCCTCATAAAAATTTTCCACAACAAATCATATTTTCCTCTAACAAGTATCATTAAAAGTTTCCCAACTGGAAAATTTTACCATAAAATTTCTCATATCCTATTTTACACAACCACATGGCTAACATTTCACCCCTAAAATCAGTGTAGCAAACTTAAAAGATCCAACCCCATTTCTACCACAAAATTCAGAGAGATTCCCTTATTCTGAATGCAAGGTTAAAATCTCTCTGACTAAGCTGTCAATTCCACTATTGTTTTCCAGCTTATATTGTGATTCACAATGTAAAAGGTACAATTCATTTGATAATCTCCTACATTTACTCCATTCCCAATTTCATATTGCTAGCTAATTCGCCCATGCACACTCCATGATTATACATGTAAATGATGAACATAAACACAGATCTAAAAAATTATATAAATTAATTACAAATTATGCAAAGATGAAAAATGAAATGCTTAACCTTAGATTTGGTGGAAGAAGCAACGAAACTGCGATTGTACGACAAGTGCAGCAAATAGTAAAATTGCCACCAGATTTTCTCGGAAACAAACAGAATGAGAAGGAAAAGGACTTACAGATGTGAAGCGAAACACAGAGCAGGTGGAGAGATCTTGTTGCGGGAGATAATGTGGAAGCGGAGATTGGAGAAGTGGAGGGAACGAAAGAGATTGAGCAACGCTCTTCCTGTTTGAACAGTTAGTTCTGCTTCCTTCTTTCTTTTTTCTTTTTTTATTTTTTTGAAAGGGGATGTATATATTGGTGAACATAATGCTAATTTATTAATTTAGAGAAGGCTCTAGAGGCTGCCACGTCTGCTTGCCTTTGATCCAACCGCTGCCACGACTTCCTCGGCATGCAAGGTTGCGCCAACGCCGTAGGATTTGGGCTCCTTATCCGAATCTGCCACGTCACACCAGTGAAGTGAAAAATAAAAATAAAAATTGGAAATTCTTTTCTTTTCTTTTTTAAAATCAAAGAAAGATAACTTCATTGAAACTTCAATCTCTGGATTAAAAATAAATTAAAAAACCGAACTACTACAAATTGATAATCAATCAGCCAATTAATCCCAAAAAATATTAATTTACACTCTAAAAAGTCAATTAACAGTTGGACTTATCATATAGGCAAAATTGTAGCAATGGTCTATCAAATAAGACCCTACTTTACATTTCGTCCATCAACCCCAAAAATTGTCATGGTCATTCTTCTTTAGATATTGCGTTGCACCACTCGTCATTCCGTTAATTCTGTTAAATTTGTCAAAATTAAGGGTAAATTAGAAAATTCATATCAAATTTTAAGGACAAATAAGACTTTTACTTAGTCACCACCTCATTCTACCCAAACCCAACGACAACTCTCTCTCTCTCTCTCTCTCTCTCTCTCTCTCTCTCTCTCTCTCTCAATGATCCTTTTGGGATTGTTCAATTGATTGAGAGGAAGACCAATCGATGAAAAAGGTTGGAAGGAGGAGGGGGTTGACAAACAAAGATGAAGAAAATGAGAGAGTGGGTTGAGGTCGAGGTCAGAGGGTGTTTGGTGGGGGGGGGGGGGGGGTGGGGGGCGGCGGTATGTGTGGAGTTAGGTCAGTAAAGGGTGGCTGGAGGAGAAAGAGGTGGCTGTTGAGGATGGGTTGTGCTTATTAAGGATCCAGCACATGAAAAGACAAATATAGCCTTATTTTTTCACAAAAAAGTTGACAGGGCTGATGGAAAGGACGAGTTCTAAAAATCAAGGCATAGTTGAAGCACCATCATAATAATTTTTGGAGCTGAGGGACTAAAAGTAAAGTCGGGACTTACTTAAGGGATCATTGCTACATTTTTTTTCCTATCATATATAAGAGTACATATAGTGCAAATAATCTCAGCACTTTTCTATCTAAGGGTTTTTCTTAAAACTTACATTTTATATCGAAAATGTATGAATAACTTGTCCCTATTTTTTTGCATACCTACATACTAAACATTTTTTATAATCTCGTTTTTTAGATATAAAATCAACATTATTATCACTATCAAAATATATTGACAAATTATTGATACATTTTCAAAAATACCGATTCGCATTTGTTCTCCATCATGCACAGATCTGATCTAAATTAAAAAAGCGCCATCTTGCACAAAATTCTGGTCCAAATTTAATGTGTTATGTGTTTTTTTTTTCTTTCACCATGTTGTTTCCCAACCGGAGTCATTCTATAGTGAAGGCTTTATATATGGCCTTTATGTGAGGTCATATATCTTAACACTTGAATCATGTTAATCAATTTGATTCAGTGGTTAATCAGTTTGATCCAACAATTAAGAGATAAGACCTCACTTAAAGGTTAAGACCCTCGCTATAGAATTTTTGTTGTCAACCGTCCACGAAGCACAGAAGTACAAGCAGCTTAACTGGACCAAAAGTGAAAGAGAACTGGGCCTAATTTCAACCCCTCAGTTAACTGGGGCCTCCACGATCTGACCTCCTTGAACTAGCCATATTTCTTTCTTCTTCTTTTTTATTATTCTTTTTGTGTTGGGCAGAGGCAAAAAATATCCCATGGGGAATATTCCTTTCCAATTGCTTGGCAGAAAAGAAACGACTTGCAATTTCTGTCCAGCCAAACACAAAAATGCTCAACAATATTTGTTATAATATCTATATATATACATATGTGTGCAAGCTAGATATGAGTTGGCTGGACTTCCCCTGAAGCAAAAATCCAAAAGTCAAAAGCCAAAAACCAAAAGCCAAAGCCAACATCTATATCTAGTCTACAAGGGTATGTTGTAGACTTGCTTGACTTGGACATTTATTTTAACTTTGATTCAGTAATCACTTCAAATCAAGGACCATTTAAAATCTGCGTGCTCCCTTTGTTCTAATATTCTATTGCCCTTCCTGGCAATCTGAGGATATATCAAGAAACAATTATAGACTTGCTTGACTTGTTCTAATAGGGAAATCCAGTAGCTTCCCTCTATGGACGTCTTTTTAACAATAATTGATAACATAACTGATCACGGAGGAACAAGCACATGAATCAAAATAAATTCTTATGTTCTTTCTGACTAGCAGTGGTGTCTAATTATAAAAGAGACGTGTGTTTAAGAAATAAAAATAAGTTATGCGTAATCTTTTAATTGAATTATACGATCACGCAACGGTAATAATCCTAGTGAAATATCTCTATACTCACTACACATTCTTTGTATTCAAGATTTTTTTTAATTATACATAGGACGATACTTAAATGCAAACCTTTGGTGTACCTCTTTATCCACTCCGTTGTGATTAACGAATCTTCACCATACACATGTCATAAACAAAACCGTTCATTTTCAAAATCATCGTTTAAATATCATGTTTGCAAAAGAATTTAAAAAAAAAATCAATAAAATTGAAGATCATTTAGTAATTCATATGTATAAGATCCTCATGATGAAATGTCCATTTAATTGGCACATATAGATGACTAAAGGCCAAAGGGCTCCCGCTCGCTCCTCCTACAAACTCACTCAGTGGGCACGTTGTTGGTGCCAATCAGCCAGCTAGGCCTCAGGAATGATTCTGATGAATAATGAATCCTTTTTTTTGCTATAAGTGAGATGACCCATCACAACCCATCACAACCCAACTCACGGGATATAAACACTGTAAACTTAACAAGTAGCTTCAATTATTTGAGACAAGAGAGGGCCAAATTTTGGTGCTTTCCAGCCACAAAGGCCAAACATAACATTCATTCATTCACGGTCACATTCTCAAGCTACATAAAAGCAGAACTATGAGCTGACACTTCTGCTGTCACTCACTTCATAAATAAAATCTAACTTTTTTTTCTAATTTATCGGGACAGGAATTCGAACTTAAGTGTAAAGGGCCAATCATCAACCGACTTAATCCACGTCTGCTAAATAAAATCTACTAATTAAACTGCAATGAGCAACAGAAGAAGTTGCTCCTGTAATTAAGTTTCAAGAACTACATTTCGAATTTGCTGTAAAATGCTACCCTTTGAGCAAATTTTGCTTCAAAACAGAGGCCTGCTAGTTCTCAGCTCAGTTGCTCTTGTCATGAACACAGAACCCATATCCGGCAAACTTGAAATTCTTCGAAACTCCAATGCTATAAAAGTATATACAGTGATGAATATAAAAATAAATAAATAAAACCCCAAAAAGAAACAAAATTTGCGGCCTTTTTAGTCATCCAACACCCAAGCCCTGCTACGCCTCTGGACGAACCGGCCAAACACCGAACTTGAGTGACTCTGACTTCTGCTGAAAACCGACCCGGATTCGGACCCGGACCTCGAAGAAGACGAATTGGACCTAAACCGACCCCAAAACGACGCCAGATTACGGAAAGCCCTGCGAATCCCACGACTCTCACTTCCTCTACTTCTCGATGACCATAGTACCCTTCTCGGAGCCCCGTTCCCGTTGAATGGGCCGTCCATTTCCGTGTACACAACCGGCAATTCCCTCTCTCCGGGTCGTCTGCCGCCGGAGAATCTCCCCACAGCGAACCCACCGCCGGGTAATCTCCAGATGGTCAGCCCCATCGTCTCTTCGTCGAGACCCGGATCCGAAGTTCGGTCATTTCGGTCGGCGGGCAGCTCGTGCCGGCAAACCGGGCACGAGTTTCGCATAGCAAGCCAGGGGAGGATGCAATCCGAGTGGTATATGTGCTTGCACGGCATTTCTCGGGCCTCCGACCCGAGTTCGAATGCTTCCTTGCAGACCGCGCAGTGCGCATCCGACACGACGTGTGTTTCGCCGATTTGAACAACAGGCATAGAGTCCACGGCTGATTTAGACGCGGGCGGATTTTCGGGTCGGCCCAGCCCGGTGATTTCAATCTGGGCGAGCTGGTCGAGCAACCGGTCGAAGCCCGAGCCCATTAAAATCTCCGACATGGTGGGCGGGAGAGGCTGGAGCCCCGACCCGGCAGCGTCGTCGTAGTAAAGCTCGAACGAGTTGGACTCAGTATTTGACTCGGCCCCGCCACGTAGGACAATAACCGGGTTGAAGGGGGAGGACCGGTCTACGGGGGCCCGACGGACTCGGCGGGAAGTCGGAGCCGGGTTTTGATCGTGGACGTGGGAGGACGGGAATCGACGGTGGTGATGGATCGGCGGTGGGGGTGGGTGCGGCGTCGTTTCGATCTCTTCCAGAAAACCGGTTTCGCAGTGGGGGCATGAGAGGGTAGAGTCCTGGACCCAGACACGGACGAAGCGAGTGCATCTGTAGCACCAATACGACGTCGTCGGCGACGGCGATGACGTGGCCATAGAGGTATAGAGATCTGAAGGATGAAGAGAGAAAATTTTAGAGAGAAGGGAAAATGAGGAGAGATGAAAAGCGGAGGGGGAAGAAGAAGGCTTTTATGGAGGCACGCGTGGGAGGCGAAAAAGGACGAAATAGGGTTCTTATTTCCTGGCGCGTAATTTCACGCGGAGTTTCACTGAGCACTCTGATTAGAGAAAGTATTAGGACAATTATTAAGACTAATTGTCAGTAAACACAAGCTGCTCCACTATCCTAAATGATTTTTTGGGAATTTTTTCCACTTTTAATGTCGTTATTTAAGCATCGTGTTTATTGTAAATGACTTATAGCTCAAGTGATTTCAGTTAACTGTGTTCGTGAGATTCTACGTTCAAATTCATTATCCGCCAACGTCGCTTGAATTTATAAAATAAAAATGATGTTATCGTTTTTTCAAGAGAAAAAGATTTCAAATTAGTAAATTATGAACATGAATAATTAAAAATATATCATGTTTTGGGAAAAATCAGAGTAACTTTTAAATAATTTTAGATTAAGGAATTTCGAGGAAGCTGCAAAAAGAGTCCTCCAAAAGATGAGTCACTCAAAGGCTCAAGTTGGTAAATTATAAAATTGAACATGTGATTAATTGATAAGAGAAAGAAATATGAAAGTATGAGAAATTAGGGGGATTGGATGGCGCGTAGGTGTGAGACGTTGACTTGAAATGGGAAGGGACGCCGGGTTTGAAATTTAAAATCGGTCGCCGGTTTCGGCAAGAAGATTCCTAACAACAACCACGCAAAGGCAGAGGCAAAGGCGCGTCCTGTAAATTTGGCTTGGCTCGGCTTGCTTGGCTTCACTCGTCTACAAAGACCACACCTATATCTGGCATGGAAATTGGAATGGCCTCCATCAAGTTGGGCCCCATTTCCCTCTCAATCATGATTTTTTAATTATAAATTTTATATTGTTTTGTGGTGTTGGCTTAATTAGGTGCTGAGTTCCATTCCCATACAACTGTTTTTTTTTTTGGGTCAAATCCAACTGTATGTATTCTCTACTGTTTTGACTCAAGTCAAATAAAGTGATATAAGGGCATGTTTACGTATCAGTAATGGGAATGAGAGGAAAGGGAATGATTTCCATTCTTGACTTCTCCTGCGTTTACTTGCAATCATGAATGAAAAAATAAGTGGGCCCCACCTCAAAATCCGTAATCACATTCCGTCAAAACTAGGAATCAGATCAACTAGGGGGGAGTAGTCGATACGATTCCCATTACTGTTTTCTCTTAATAACTTCCAAAAATACCCTTATCACTTTACCATAATTCTAAAATTAATTTGGATTCTGATTCATGCAAATTAGTAAACAATAACAATGGGAATCAATCTCATTCCATTGCTAATTCCAGATGTTTAGTAAACAGCTTAATGGGAATGATTCTTCCCATACCGATTCAGTAGTTCTCCGATTCCTAAATTCTCCGATTCCTTAGTTTCTCCATTACTGATACGTAAAATGTGTTTCGTATCAAAAAGTTTATTCTCTTTCTTTTTCTTTTTTTTTTTTTTTTTTTTTTTTTTTAGAAAGCGATCTTTTTTTGCCTAACTGTATTAAATGGGACAAGATATTGGTCATATAATATTATAAAACTCAAAATAAATTTAGACAAATAGTCTCATGATACCAAACTATTTGGGAGTGATAGGTATAGCGTACAAAATGGTATCCTAAATCAATCTAGGCATAATCGATAACATACTATCACACTCTAAATAATCAACAGCATTAGAAGGAGATATAATTATCTTATTCTTAAAGACTCGTTTAGGAGTGATTCTAGATAAGCCATAATCACTTCTGGAGAGAAGTATTTCTCATGTGTTTCTTCATAGTGTGTTTCTCCATAAAATCACTTAGACCCCGTTTGGTTCATGGGAAATGAGGCTTGGTAATGGGAATTCAATTGTTTTCCCATGTTTGGTAAGTCCAGGCATGGAAAATGGTTGCCTGGCACATGAGAAAGTATGGGGGAAAGTGAAGGCTTCCTCTTAACTTGAGTTTTGTTTTCCTTCCTCATGAAAAAGTTTGGGAAAATAAGCCAACATTAAATGCATAATTTTCATGACTATTTGTCCCTATGATCAATTTATAATTACAACGTATCATTAAATGAATTTTTTTTATTTGATTTAATATGGGTATAATTGGAAAATTATACAAACTTTGTTTTTCATTCATACTCAAAACAAACATGAGAAATGAAACAAAGTGAAATCTCTTGGTTACTTTCCCAACATTACCAAACGTGGGAAATGAATCTTTCATTCCCATTCCTTAGGAAATGATATGAGAAATAATTTCCCCTCAAATACATTCCGTGAACCAAACAGGGCCTTAAAACCACTTAAAGTGATTAAATGAAAAAGTGACTCTCCATAAAAATGATTATTGGCATATTTACAATCACTCCCAAACAAGCCTTAAGAAAAAGATAATTATATCTCATTCTAATGTTGTTGTTTATTTACGAAAATTAACTAATACAAAATATAAGATATATACGTGATTCTAAGTTTATTTAGAGTATGATAATATGTGATCGGTTATGCTTGGATTGATTTGGGATACCATTTTGTAGGCTATATCATTTTGTATGCTATCAGTTACAACACAAGTTTAGATACTAACAAGGTTGTCAAGGATCTAATTATTGGTCCAAACGTTGACATCACACATTTAAGTGGGAAATTTTGTGATAACTGTAGAGAGCCTATTAGTAACCAATTCTTGTGGGATATGACGCTGATATATAAGTTTAAAAAAAAAAAATCGCATTTGCTTTATTATGGGCATGGAAACTAGGAAGATTACAAATATAGTTCGTTGGGTAATATGGTAAATTAACCATGGATGTATATAATAATAATAGTCTTGACAGAAAAGTGATTATTTAAATGCAATTATGAATGCATGTTCTGCGGTACGCTCCCCTTCTTTAAGGGGCAAATAATAGAAGGGCTGATTTTTTATTTATTTTTAAATGAAAATTAAGAACTGAAATTAATGAAGAGGTACAACAGGAGAACCATATTGTCCTTTAAATAATATTTTTTCAGAAAAGGAAGATTAATGAAAATCCGTACTATAATGTTTAATTTTTGTTTTTTTTTACTAAGAGTTTGGTAACACATCAATCAAGAAAATTTATTTTGTGTCTGTCCCTTGTTGGCCTCCGTCCACAAAAATCATGGCGCATAGTTTTCGATCTGTTCGGTTTGCATGCGTGAAAAGTGTGAATTACAACTTCTATATGGCAAGGGCTTTTATTTTACTTTCAGGCAAATTCGTAAGGTCAAGCCCTCCATAATGCTATTCAAAGAAAAGATAGGAACCCATGAATGCATCACTGTTTTAATATGTGCATCCAAAATAAGCTTAAGCAATTAAGTGAAGATGTTAGGTACTAGGTCACAATTCAATATTTTGAAATTAGATCGTCAGCGTAAAGATTATGCTACGGTCAGTCATTCATGCATGTGTGAGAAATTTCTGATTATTAATGCATGTAAAATGAACAATACATGAACAGTCGGATTTCGCCCACACAACTTACCTAGCAAAATTCATGCTGTCAAAACTTCTTAGTTCTTTTCATTCCTTTCACATCCAAATATTTATGTAAGTATAAATTAACCATAATATGAATAAATAGCATTTTGTGTAAATAAATCCATGATTCAAATATGAATACTGTTAAGATAATATTGCCACAAATGAGTTTAAGAAAGATAGGGGAGCGTCTTTGTCGGATTGGTCCTCAAATGCAAAAGGTTCAAACCCCAAAAAGCTTACAAAGCAATGTTTGTGTGGTTTCTCAAACCTTTCCCAGTGCCAGCCTTTTTTTTAAAACAGCATTATGCTACTTTGAGTTGAGTCACTCTCGCACCACTTTTCCAAAGAAAAGAGGCAAACTTCTTTGTTGGAAGAATTTTTTTGCTTTGTCATCGCAGTCTCGGGGAAAAGCCAAAAAGTAAATAATATTCTTTTGACAAAGAGAAAACTCATTATGTGATTTTACTAATTTAATTTTACTCATTATATACATGTATATTATAATATATAATGTATATGTGTATATACACAGTGGTGGAGCCACCTAAGGACCAGGGTGGGCCGGCCCTCTCTCATTTTTTTTTATTTTCTCATATTTTTACTTATATGTTTGCTCCTTGGAGTAAAGACTCTTTTTTTTTGTTCTCCTCCTCTTCCTCTTTTGATTAATTTAAGCTTTGTGAATTCCCTTTTCCCCTATTTTACATGTCTAAGTAGGGTATCTTAATATTGGGATCTATGAACATTTTTTGTATTTCTTCTTTCTGTTGAAGTATAAATTATTAAATTTTGAGTCTTTAATAGTGTAGATGATGAGATTAATATTCAACCATGTAAAAATATGAAATTTTGGACAATTATGATTGTAATAAATCGATAAATTATTAATTAGTATGAAATGATATTATTAACTTATTAACCTGTTTATCCCTTGAGGACTCCTATTCAAATTATTTTTAAAATTTTTATGAAAGGCCCCTCTAATGTGAAATCCTAGCTCCGCCACTGTATATATATGTGTATATGTATATTATAATACATACATGGGTATAATATATATACACATATATGTATATATACGTATATATATTATAATATAATATATATTACATATATACATGTATGCTATTATTATAATATTAATATGTATGTGTATATGGGTATATTATAATAATATACGTGTATATATCTATACGTATATATATTATATGTATATATGTGTTTATACGTGTATGTATGTACATTATATATAATATATATTACATATATATGTGTATATACGTGTATATATGTACATTATAGTATATGTGTATGTAATAATAATAATAATAATAATAATAATAATAATAATAATAACTAGTCACTTGGCACGCATGTGCCAATTGGTTTTATTTTTTATTTT